AAAAACTCATATTTCGTCATATCCCAACAAAAACACCTACTTTTGAACACAATAGAAGTAAAATAGACTATTGGTTATCTAGAAGAATGTTTATCAAATAGGTTTTGCCGCCAGCAATCGTGGTTTATTTTAGGACTGCATATGTAGCATTTTTCATGATTTGGACTTTCCTCTCGGTCTGTCAAATTCGCACAAGCCGAACACTGGAAGCTTGTCTTCTTGCCACAGCCCTCAATGCAGCATCTAACTTGATATAGCTGCAAATTTCCGTCCTTTGCTCCTCCGCTTGCGTTCTGTTAGAGTTAGGTGGATTCCAAGCCCATTCCTTGCAGTGGGACTACCAAAAACCGTGGATAAATCTGTAGGATTTAGAGGTGGTTTTCGTAAAGACCGTTGATTGTCGTACCTGTTGTTGATTAGTTCCTCTGCAAGGTAGGAATGGAAGGTTTTCTGTGTCTCTGTTGTATTTGTAGCTCGCTTGTATAAGGCCCAAGTATCAGTGATGATAATTCCCAACATGGAAATACCCACTCTGATATGCCACGAGTGACACTTCAAATTTCGTTCCAACTGTAGTGTGTCTTGACAATGGCGGTTTTGCTGATCAACCCTTCCACAGGTTGAGTAGTAGACTTCACAAGCCGTTGGCTGTGGTATTTGGAAGTCCACTCGCTTGGGTGCTGTGTACCTGTCGTTAACTAGTTGTCTCCAACATGTCCGCCAGTACCCTTCTCCAACTTCAAGGGATGGCGCAGTTGCAATGAAATACCTCCGGTCACGATTACCCCAGACAAATGCAAGTAGTGTCGGATTGCTGAATCTGCTGATAACTCCTTGAAGTCGCCACGGCTTTGTAGCTCAAGACCTGATAGGTATCCCTGAGGATACTAGTTCCTATTGGCTGTCTTGACTACACCAATGAAGTGCATCCCAAGACGGAGCATTTCCTCCTCAGCTGCAACAGAAGCAAAGTGTGAGTCAGCACAGACGACTCTCCAACTGTTATGCAACGGAAGTATCAATTCCTTCATCACCTGGAACCCATGTGGCAGTCCATTGCCTTCTGTAGTTTTGTCTTCTTCCTCTTCATTTCTCTTTGTAAGCTTCAGACAAAGCATCACACCATTATCACCACACGCCGAATCTTGGATCTCACACCTATTTTCTGTTCTCCTGTCTATTGCAACATAGTTGGGAAGGCCCTCATTGATCCAATGACCGCGCATGCCATACCATCAGTATAAGACTGAAGGCTCTGGAAGGAAACAAAAGAAGAAAATAGTCCAACCTCGACAGCGAAAAACCAGCGTCACATCCATCACAGAGATCTCATCATTCACTGGAGTCTTCAACACCCATTCTCGCTGGCGAATGAGATTGCCAATACTAACCCCATATAGTTCATCAAACCATTCGAAGCCATGCTGAGTTGCAACTGGCTGTGGTCCCTGTTGCTGTTGTTCCAGCGGAGTTAGGATGACCGACTCTTGGCCCACTGGCATGGGTTCTGGTGCCTGTTGCTCATCTGGGACCGATCTTGTATGATTGTTGTATTCTTCTGGTTGGTTTGGGGGTGGTGGTTGTGGTGCCGCGACCACTGCTTCTACTTCCACACCTTGTTGTGGCACAGCAGGTTGGACAACTTCAACAGGAGCGAGACTGACGCTTCTACTGTTGACAGAGGCGACTTTTGTTGCTGTACCACCAAGGGTGCATCTTGCTTTGGTTGTGTAATTGGCTTGACCAGTTGCTGTTTGGCCACAAACAACCTCCTCCACAACTCCAAAAACAACTTTTGACTTGGCATTGGAGCCATAGCCACGCTTGCACTCGGCCAAGCTGGTGACCAAGATTGCCCTTGTTGATACTCTTGCCCTATTGGATGTTTGGGGTTGCTAGGTGCCATGGTTGGGTCGTTGTAGTTGTCGTTGTGATGGTGATGATGTCAGTTTTTTTCGCACACAAAAGCGCATGGAAGCACCTTTGACAAAGAATATCTTCCGTCACAACAATTTTCAGCCAGTGACCCCATAGAAAACATGAAAGATTGAATACCAAGGAATACGCTCTTAAAGCAGGAGGTTTGTTAAACATGTTTACGGTAGTTAGGTAGGACTGTCAAAAGCTGCCTCATATGAGGCATATGCCTCATATGAGGCGCGCGGTAGAATAGACAGTAGAACATGCATGTCATGTTGGAATGGTTCCACGTAGGGTTTCACATTAGCACACTTCCTCAAGGAGCCAGAAAAATGTTCTCTTGGGCCTAGAGAATAAAAACAAACTGGATTTTTTATGCCGGTGGAAGACAATGGGCCCATTCGTTTCGCGAAAATAAGGAACGAACCATAAATGACACATTCTGATCGAAGGAATGTTTCTTCTCTTACTGACGATTGCGACGAAAATCGTTATATATAACGTCAAGACACACGGGGAACGGAACACTGATCGCTACCAGGTACAAAACTACGGCAGTTGATATTTTCAATTTATTCATGGACAATCGGCACTTCAAGAAAGAGCAGTTCGTCTCCAAGTTCGGTGTTATTTGCACGGTACGTCTTGAATCACAAAAAACTCAAACTAAACAAGAAGAGTGTAAGTAGTTTGGTGGCTACAATGAATTGTCTCATTCAAGTGATTCATACTCACATTGCCTCGTTTCTTTACAATACAGTAAAAAGACAATGAGAGAATTTTTGTCATACCTGTGCATAGCGCTTGCAGCACTGGGCTCTCTACCAAGATCCAAAAGCGAATACTTGGACATGGAGGGATGGACAGCCGACAAACACTGGGCTGTTGGAGACATCAACTGCACCCACGGACTTCGCGAGTTCAATAAACATACACAAAAACGAGTCTACACAGTCGGGGTACACGCTCCATCAGGCATTGACAAAGCGTGGACCGAATTCAACATGACGTTCGAGACATACTTGACAGAAGTCGTCGGAAAGCGCTTCGATCCACCCATCGAGTTCAAGATGAAGCCATCAGAATGGCCTTTGCTGGACTGGATTGATAATGCTGAAGATGTGGACTTTATGTATTCTGACACAGGTCTATACTCCTGCATCGGTACAGAGCTTGGAGCCCAGCCTCTTGCAACCACCATCGCGAGTCTAGAATCAAGGGGACGCGAATACGAACTAGACTCATATGGCGGTACAATCTTGGCTTTAGCAAGCAACACTGCGGTCAACACTATCGAAGATCTGAAAGACAAGGTGATTGCAGGACAGGCCTTCTCTGTGTTTGCTGCTGGACAATCACAGTTTTATGTCATGCACAAGGCTGGACTTGATTACATCATGGATCCAAAGCAAGTTATCTTTACAGGTAATCATGATGAAACGGTACAGGGCGTCCTCAGCGGAAGATGGGACGTTGGCTTCGTTCCATCTGGAAGGGCTGAACGCACTGTCGATGAGGCGACTGGTGAATACATTGACTCCAATATTTTCAAGGTGATCGAACCGAAGATTGCCATCATGAATAATGGCGACCTGTTCCCATTCCTTCATTCGACGCCGGTCTTTCCAGAGTGGCCTTTGTTTGCCAAGAATGAAGTAGATGGTATCGTCTCCGAAGAAGTAGCAATTGCCATGATGGAATTTGGTGCACACAAAAGAGTTGGGAAACTGATGCATCAATGTGTTGAGGACGCTGAAACTGCTGAGGAATTGGAACTCTGCAACACGATGCCCCCAGTATACTTTGATCCTGCTGCCCGCTGTGACACGACACGAGAACTTGCAGAGCTAGCGTATCACGCTGGGATGGAAGGACATCATTCTGGTATGCGGCCGGCAAAGTCCCACTTCCAAGTGAGAACAATGCAGCAAGATGCCGGCTTCATCATCCGAGATGACATAAACAGTAAGTAGGTGCATGTAATGTGACCGTCTTTGACCCTTGGCAATACTCATGAATTCTGTCGTTTTTGAGCAGGCAATTGGCGTTGTGAACGAGCTTCAAGAACTTATAACGGTATAACCTGCCCAGTAGGCCACTACAAGATTGCAGAGGACAAATTCGATACGCACTGTTATAAGAAAGGCTTACCATGCCCAGAAGGGGCGACCTGCTATTGCCGACCTTGCATAAAGGCATACGAGGTCGATGTATTCCCATGGAATACTGAGATCGAAGGTGTTGTTACCGAAGACCATGATAGATGTGAAAAGGTGAGCGATTTCGCACTATATTCTTTTTCAGCGACAGATTCCATCTAACTATATCGCAGATGAGTCTTTGTGGAGAGGGGGAACAAAACGAAGATGTTGTCTTCCACGCCTACGATAACTTGGAGCGTACGAATGCAACAGTGACAGCCTTGGTGCACCTCGGCCAGGAATCGAGGTATCTTGACGTGATACACAATGCTGGTGGATTCAATCAGTACGAATTCACTTTTTCGCACGGAAAGAGGGGTGTGGCCATTTTGGAAGTCTTCTTTGACGGTGTCCAAATCCCAGAATCGCCATTCCGGATCCAAGTGTCTGAAAAGACATGCCCTGCTAGGAGAATGGACGCTGTAAGTACATGCCCCAATTATTTGAACACTCACTATCGATATATTGTTCAGATGCTCATGTTCCTATTTGATCACAGAACGAAAATGGTGTTTGCGAATGCTCATCCAGCGCAATCAACATCTTTGGGGAATGTATTTCGGAAGGTGCATTTGCTGGAATTGTCTCTGGCATTTGCGTTTTGATTGGCTTTGTTGTTGCGCTATTCTATATTGCATACAAGAAGAAAAAGAACGATGAAGTTTGGCATGTTAGCGCGGAAGAGTTACACTTTAGTCACCCTGTCGAAATTGTCGGACAAGGTGCATTTGGTGTTGTCTTACTAGCTGAGTATCGTGGAACAAACGTGGCTATCAAGCGAGTCTTAGCGAAAAAGGACAGGAACGTGAGAAATGGCTCCGTCGCGAGCATAGGCAGCGTCGGTGGCCGAAGTGTAAGTGATGAGGACGTGCAAGAAGACGTTGAAACGGGTGAAGCTGGTGGCACAGCTAGTGGAACAAATTCAGGCTTTGGCGACCTTGACTTCTTGGGAGGATTCAGTTTCAAAAGAACGAAGAGGGGTCCATTCGGTCGATTATTTGGAAGACGTCACAAGGATGATTCCGCAAAGCACAATTTGAGCATCCTTGGGTCCGCATCAGCTGGTGGAGCCTCAATGTCGAGGGGGATCGCCACTTGGCTTTTCCCATCGTGCAATGAGACCGCTCGTCGTCAAGAGCAATTTAAGGAAGAAATGAGACTTCTATCAAGACTTCGACATCCTTGTATTACAACGGTGATGGGAGCCGTGATGAATGGATTCGAACCCGTAAGTTGGGTATCCTTTTGTGTGCGCTGTGCTCCTTTTTCGCCCGGTTTGACTTACTTTACCATGTTGATTCTTTCAGATGATGGTAATGGAATATATGGAAAACGGGTCCTTGTATGACCTTCTTCGTAACGAGTCTTTCTTCATGGGTGGAGAAATCATCTTACAAGTTATCCGGGATATTGCCCAGGGTCTACGATTCTTGCATTCTTCGAAGCCTGCGATTCTTCACGGTGACTTGAAGGCAAAGAATATCCTTATCGATTCTAGGTTCCGTGCGAAGGTTTGCGACTTTGGATTGGCTGTGAAGGGCAAGAACGATCTGTCTGGAACTCTCTACTGGTAAGTTCGTGTGGCGGGTTGATGGAACTGTTGCTATGACAAGCGCTTACAAGTTTGATCGATTTTCATCATTGAAAACAGGCTGGCACCAGAATATTTGCGTAGACGATCAGAATACAACTCTACCTGCGACATTTACTCAGTTGGAATGATTCTTTATGAGATTTACAGCCGCAAGACACCATATGAGGGAGAGCCACTCCGCAAGGTCCTACGCAAGGTATGCGACCCACGCATCAACTATCGCCCAGCTGTACCTGGGACTTGCCCTAAGCGCATGGCCGAGATCATGACACGGTGCTGGAGCAGTGATGCCTCTTACCGTCATCCAGCCAAAGACTTGGATATGATCTTTGGCGAAATGACTTCCCGTGACGCCGACCCTCTCTTGGAGGAGACCAATACACGCGTGCGGACTGAAGTGGCGACTGGCGACATGCTGTACAAGGTGTTCCCAAAGAAGGTTGCTGACCAGCTAAGACACGGCGAGAAGGTGGAACCGTAAGTTGCTGAAATTGTGTTGCCATTTGCGCTTTGACACGACCAAATCCAGAAGCAGATACTGACGCTTTTTCTGGTCCTCGTCTCTTTAATCAATTGCAGTGAAAATCACGACAATGTTACCATCTTCTTCAGTGATATTGTTCGCTTCACCGATATTTCTCGTGCGTTGTCTCCAGTCAAGGTGTGCAAAATGTTGGATCGATTGTACCTTGCCTTCGATAATTTGTCTACGAAACATGGAGTATTCAAGGTGGAGACGATTGGAGATGCCTGGATGGGGGTGACAAACTGTAAGCCGTTCTGGTGTTGCCTGTTGATTCATTCTCTTTGTGATGCACTCGCTTACCGCTTAAATCTCTTTTTCGATTTCACAGTGGAAGGAAACCAAGCCACTTCTCATGCCAAGCGTGTTGCCGAGTTTGCAATCGATGCCGTGAAAGCGGCTGGAAAGGTTTTGATTGACGAAGACGACCCGTCTGCAGGTTATATCCACATTCGCGTCGGTTTCCACAGTGGTCCAGTCGTCAGTAATGTGATTGGATCGTTGAATCCGCGGTATGGTCTCTTTGGAGACACTGTGAACACGTCATCCAGAATGGAGTCTCTGTCTGTGAGTGGTCGCATTCATTGTTCCGAAGCTTCAGCCAAGCTTTTGAAGGAACAAGCTCCGGACTTGCCTCTCAAGAAGCGCGGCAAGGTTGCAGTAAAGGGAAAGGGCAATATGGTAACCTACTGGGTTGGCAACTCTTCGGATCCGCCCAAGACATCGGGCCAGCACGCACCCGGTGCTTTTGATGATCCACGTCCAGTGGTGAACTTCCACGCGGAGCCGCACATCCTTACACCTTCTTCACCAAGAGCCAATGTTTCCGTTTACCGGAATGCAATCACCCCGCCAGCAACCAGAAGTAAGATTTCATTGCTCAATCCTTCTCGGCGCAAGACCAGGCCGGGAACCACCAAGTATTCAAGAGAACTTGCACCACCTGATTACGAGGAGAAAGAAGCTGACAGTAGTTCGGGAGGTGAGAGGCGTAGAATGTATCTACGGTCCACGTCGCAATAGATATGCAAATGGAATGGCTCTTTTTGTACGGTACCTATTGGTACATACTTTCCACCTTTGATATTGTTGAATAATTTTGTGTAATGATGATTTTTAGTACATAAATACAACTTTGCGACACTTGAGATACAGTCAACCATGACAGCAGGGTTGTTGATTCAAGCTTATTGCTACCACTTCCAGATCAAAGGGTGTGGATCCTTTTACATACGAAGCAAAGACAGTAAGTCGGTAATCTCATGATTTGGCACGGAAAGACTGATATCTGTACTGTTGCAAAATGTATGTGTATGGATGAGAAACAAAATTTAAATAGAAAATCGATACAGCTCCGACTATTACGACCAAAGGCTCACAGCGTGGGGCCTTTTTTATATTATGGCTTGCGTTATTGGTACCGGTATGTTTTACAACCAAAAAAGCACACAGCAATGACTCGGCATTGCCAGACTGCAATACACAACCACCTGGCTCGATCTCAACGAGGGTAATCATTCATCGATCCTTCTGATATTGTGCATAAAGGAGGTGGATATACCCCCGTTTGCGGAGACAGCCAGGGTGCTATGTCCACGACTCTGTCTACCGCTGGTTATGGCAATTTCAGCGACATCAGGAGGCAGAATGCAGATCGGCTTCTGTCTCAGTTGATCGGACTGTGAAGACTTTAACGAAACTATTGAATCTGTGCCCTTTCACAAAAGTGTGCAATTATCATGATGCATTGGGGGAGTACTAGCCATCAAGCATCTGTCATCTGGACAGCTATAGGTCTGCGCATTGGCGACCTGCGTGGGGACTGCAACGAAGATCTTGGAGAAGTCCGTTCGAAAAGGGAATGGCGCTTTCCCAATACAGTATGACCAGTGCCAACAAAAATGACCCCGCGTTGAAGTTATTGGTGTTCCGTGTAACAGGCCACATTCTTTTGGAATGGCTTATTACTTTTGTCCGTCGGGCGAGGAATGATTGCGAAATCCTTGGCGATGTGATTCGGTTGGGGCATTATATTGAAGTAACGTCGAGAAGCTGCCAAGATACGCACTAAGTGAGATGAGCCGGATTTGGGAGCCCCTTGCTGGATGTGTGGCAGGTTGTGAATATTGCAATGTGGCGTGCCATAGAACCGGGGCCCGCCAGCACTAAGAGATTTGGAACAGTATTCGTCACCAAGGCATCTTTTACGAAAAGTCATCAAGATATTCTTCAAGGCTTTGACATACAATTATTCCATTCTATGGTGACGTGATGAACATGGCATTCATCGCCAAGTGCAACTTGATCGTAGGAGTTGCATTTATCACCAAAGTATTTGTCAAGATATCTTCAAGCCTTCTATTATAAAAAGTTACGCAACTAGTTTTCCATTCAACGATCGATCGGTGGCCTGAAATTGGTGCTCAACGAGAAGAGCTCAACGTCCTTCTCACTTCTCAGCATTCCGCACGGTACAGTAGTTGAGCAAGGAACCTTCACTAGGTTGCGGGAAACGATTTCTATGGAACAACGGAGTACTGGTACCAGTACGGAGCACCAAACAGGAACGGGACGGAATTTTCAATTTGTTTCGCGAGCGAGGAGCCTGAGAAAAAATTCAGGGAGGTTCCAGAGTGCTATCGAAAAGCCTTCTTTATTTATGGTCATGCAGAATTGAGAATGAATCAAACATTTTGCGAACCTGAAAATAAGAAGTCGAACATTGAACTTTTCGGCATTATATTTCTGCACATACAGGCACACGTGTACGACATGGGAACAATTGTTCTCGATTGAACGCATCGTTCGACGCCATCACATGGGAACAAAGAGTTCGCGATGAAAAACTTTGGATCACTGTTCTTCGCACAAATGACCTCAAAAACACCTGAGCTCACAGAACAACAATCAAAACAAACAAAGCGTAAGTAGGACCGCGAAAAACTGATGGTTTCAATTGATTGTGTCATCCAAGCGATTCATACTCACATTGCCTCGTTTCTTTGCGTTTCAGTAAAAAGACAATGAGAGAATTGTTGTCATCACTGTGCATAGCGCTTGCAGCATTGTGCTTTATCCCAAGATCCAACAGCGAATACTTGGATATGGAAGGATGGACAGCCGACAAACACTGGGCTGTTGGAGACATCAACTGCACCCACGGACTTCGCGAGTTCAATAAACATACACAAAAACGAGTCTACACAGTCGGGGTACACGCTCCATCAGGCATTGACAAAGCGTGGACCGAATTCAACATGACGTTCGAGACATACTTGACAGAAGTCGTCGGAAAGCGCTTCGATCCACCCATCGAGTTCAAGATGAAGCCATCAGAATGGCCTTTGCTGGACTGGATTGATAATGCTGAAGATGTGGACTTTATGTATTCTGACACAGGTCTATACTCCTGCATCGGTACAGAGCTTGGAGCCCAGCCTCTTGCAACCACCATCGCGAGTCTAGAATCAAGGGGACGCGAATACGAACTAGACTCATATGGCGGTACAATCTTGGCTTTAGCAAGCAACACTGCGGTCAACACTATCGAAGATCTGAAAGACAAGGTGATTGCAGGACAGGCCTTCTCTGTGTTTGCTGCTGGACAATCACAGTTTTATGTCATGCACAAGGCTGGACTTGATTACATCATGGATCCAAAGCAAGTTATCTTTACAGGTAATCATGATGAAACGGTACAGGGCGTCCTCAGCGGAAGATGGGACGTTGGCTTCGTTCCATCTGGAAGGGCTGAACGCACTGTCGATGAGGCGACTGGTGAATACATTGACTCCAATATTTTCAAGGTGATCGAACCGAAGATTGCCATCATGAATAATGGCGACCTGTTCCCATTCCTTCATTCGACGCCGGTCTTTCCAGAGTGGCCTTTGTTTGCCAAGAATGAAGTAGATGGTATCGTCTCCGAAGAAGTAGCAATTGCCATGATGGAATTTGGTGCACACAAAAGAGTTGGGAAACTGATGCATCAATGTGTTGAGGACGCTGAAACTGCTGAGGAATTGGAACTCTGCAACACGATGCCCCCAGTATACTTTGATCCTGCTGCCCGCTGTGACACGACACGAGAACTTGCAGAGCTAGCGTATCACGCTGGGATGGAAGGACATCATTCTGGTATGCGGCCGGCAAAGTCCCACTTCCAAGTGAGAACAATGCAGCAAGATGCCGGCTTCATCATCCGAGATGACACAAATGGTACGTTTTTTATGCATGTGTTGTGATTGTCTTCGTCTTGTTGAAAAACTCATGAATCTCGTGGCGTCTGTGCAGGCGATTGGCGCTGCGAACGAGCTTCAAGAACGTATTTTGGGATCACATGCCCAGAAGGCCACTACAAGATTGCAGAGGACAAATTCGATAAACATTGTGACAAGAAAGGCTTGCCATGCCCAGAAGGGGCGACCTGCTATTGCCGACCTTGCATAAAGGCATACGAGGTCGATGTATTCCCATGGGACATTTCTGTCGATGGTGCTGTACCGGAAGAGCATGACAGGTGTGACAAGGTGAGCAAATGTGTTGGGTCTTCGTTTTCGGCTATTGCATAATTTCATCTAAAATATCTCTTTGCAGATGAGCCTGTGTGGTCAGGTGGAACAAAATGAAGATGTCGTCTTTCACGCCTTTGATAACATGGAGCGCTCGAATGCAACAGTGACAGCCTTGGTGCACCTCGGACAGGAATCGAGGTATCTAGACGTGACACGCAATGCCGGTGGATTCAATCAGTACGAATTCACTTTTTCGCATAGAAAGAGGGGTGTGGCCATTTTGGAAGTCTTCTTCGATGCAGTCCAAATCCCAGAATCACCATTTCGAATCCAAGTGTTCGATAAAGAATGCCCAATACGGGGAATGGTGGCGGTGAGTGGACTATTGTCCATGTTTTATTATTGATATCGTTCGGACACTCACGTTTCCCTTTGAATCACAGAGCGAAGATGGTGTTTGCGAATGTTCATCCAGCGCTATCGACATCTTTGGGGAATGTGTTTCGGAAGGGGTATTTGCTGGAATTGTCTCTGGCATTTGCGTTTTGATTGGCTTTGTTGTTGCGCTATTCTATATTGCCTACAAGAAGAAAAAGAACGACGAGGTTTGGCATGTGAGCGTAGAAGAGCTACATTTTAGTCACCCTGTTGAAATTGTCGGACAAGGCGCATTTGGTGTTGTCTTACTGGCTGAATACCGTGGCACAAAAGTGGCAATCAAGCGAGTGTTGCCACAAAAAGACAAGACCAAGAGAAGTGGATCCGTCGCAAGCGTTGGCAGCGTCGGTGCCCCAAGTGTAAGCGAAGGGGACGAACAAGAAGACATCGAGACAGGTGAAGCTGGTGGCGGTGCTGGTGGTACAACTAGTGGAACAACTTCAGGCTTTGGCGACCTTGATTTCTTGAATCGACTCAGCTTCAATGCAAGAAAGCGGGGTGGATTCGGTCGATTGTTTAGAGGACATCGCAAGGATGATTCTTCGAAGTACAATTTGAGCATCCTTGGGTCCGTTTCAGCTGGAGCCTCAATATCGAGGGGAATCGCCACTTGGCTTTTCCCATCGTGCAACGAGACCGCTCGCCGTCAAGAGCAATTTAAGGAAGAAATGAGACTTCTATCAAGGCTTCGGCATCCTTGTATCACAACGGTGATGGGAGCCGTGATGAATGGAATCGAACCCGTACGTTGGATATCTTGCTTATGTGCACTATGCTCCCACTTCGCTCGGTTTGACTCACCAATGCCTTTGTGATACGTTCAGATGATGGTAATGGAATACATGGAAAATGGGTCCTTGTATGACCTTCTGCGCAACGAGTCTTTCTTCATGGGTGGAGAAATCATCTTACAAGTTATCCGGGATATTGCCCAGGGTCTACGATTCTTGCATTCTTCGAAGCCTGCGATTCTTCACGGTGACTTGAAGGCAAAGAATATCCTTATCGATTCTAGGTTCCGTGCGAAGGTTTGCGACTTTGGATTGGCTGTGAAGGGCAAGAACGATCTGTCTGGAACTCTCTACTGGTAAGTTCGTGTGGCGGGTTGATGGAACTGTTGCTATGACAAGCGCTTACAAGTTTGATCGATTTTCATCATTGAAAACAGGCTGGCACCAGAATATTTGCGTAGACGATCAGAATACAACTCTACCTGCGACATTTACTCAGTTGGAATGATTCTTTATGAGATTTACAGCCGCAAGACACCATATGAGGGAGAGCCACTCCGCAAGGTCCTACGCAAGGTATGCGACCCACGCATCAACTACCGCCCAGCTGTCCCTGGGACTTGTCCCAAGCGCATGACCGAAATCATGACCCGGTGCTGGAGCAGCGATGCATCCTATCGACATCATGCCAAGGACTTGGACATGATCTTTGGCGAAATGACTTCCCGTGACGCCGACCCTCTCTTGGAGGAGACCAATACACGCGTGCGGACTGAAGTGGCGACTGGCGACATGTTGTACAAGGTTTTCCCCAAGAAGGTTGCTGACAAGCTTCGGCACGGCGAGAAGGTGGAACCGTAAGTTTTTGAAAGTGTTGTGCTTTGATATGTCGCATTGCAGAGCTAGATACTGACACTTGTTCACTCGTTCACTTGCTTTTACGAATTACAGTGAAAATCACGACAATGTCACCATCTTCTTCAGCGATATTGTTCGATTTACTGATATTTCTCGTGCGTTGTCTGCGGTCAAGGTGTGCAATATGCTGGACCGTCTTTATATGGCATTTGATGAGTTGTCAACGAAACATGGAGTATTCAAGGTGGAGACGATTGGCGACGCTTGGATGGGGGTGACAAACTGTAAGTCGCTGTGCTGCTTTCTGTTGATTCAATTGCGGATACACACTCTCAAATCTCTTTTCCGATTTTACAGTGGAAGGAAACCAAGAAGGTTCTCATGCCAAGCGTGTTGCCGAGTTTGCGATCGACGCTGTGCAAGCGGCTGGAAAGGTTTTGATTGACGAAGACGACCCTACTGCTGGCTATATTCACATTCGCGTCGGTTTCCACAGTGGTCCAGTCGTGAGTAACGTGATTGGATCATTGAATCCGAGGTATGGTCTCTTTGGAGACACTGTGAATACCGCCTCCAGGATGGAATCTTTGTCTGTGAGTGGTCGCATTCATTGTTCCGATGCTGCAGCCAAACTTTTGAAGGAGCAAGCTCCAGGATTGCCTCTCTATAAGCGTGGCAAGGTTGCAGTCAAAGGAAAGGGCAACATGGTCACCCACTGGGTGGGCAAGGGAGACAATGCACCAGTCGCCGCTGGTCATTTTGATGAACCACGTCCATTGGTGAACTTTAACGAGAAGCTACAAATTTTAACATCCCCACCGCCGAACACAGGTAAAATTTTCCGCAGTCCAGCGGCAGTGACACCAAAACACCACGACGAGATTGCAATGAACCATCCTTCCAGGCGCACTACCATGACGGGAGCCACCAAGTATGCTCGAGAAATCCCAACAGCATCAGAAGTTCACAAGCCGATCGAAGTGCACAAATCGCCGATGGTCCAAGCAACGCCTGTAATTTCGTTTCAACGATCCTTGTCGCAATAGCATGGACAATGGGGCATTGTTATGATTCTAGTTTGAGAGAATTTTAGAATGATAATACATAAATAAAGGTTTCGATATAATGTACAATAATATCTCCTGCTGACTGGTTCCGACAGTAGCTTGCCAAGGACGATTGATACAAAGTTTCATACGATGCGTTTGCATTTGGCAGTTGAGGTGATTGAGGCAATCATCAAGGCAATCATCTTAATAAAAATTCATTTCAAGCACAACGGCAGATTATTGCCCGTACATATCCAAAGCGAACAATGACTCTCTGTTTCATAGCTACAATACACAGATTAGGTATAGGTCTTCGTGTGAAACTACAGCAGCAGTAGTTCTCTTCACCTTCAGAAAGACTACTGCATGGTTGCCTTTCGACCAATATAATAATGCTTCATTGATGGAGAGCACAAACTACGGATACACCATATATCCAATTGATTGGAGATTGGAATAGTCTTACTAAATTTATCCAGCATGACATAAGAGTGATGAACATTCCTTCGGGCTCATGATCTTTATCACCGATTTCATTCTATCGTACTTGTATCATAACGTACAAGAAAATTATTGTTGTTTTGGTATTATTATAAAATAATATTACTCGTATTATTTGAAAGGAACAAATTTCACTGTGCGAAGGGCCGGACGAACGGTCCTGCGTACTTCTCAAAAAAATGCGTACACCGCATATATAATATTCTAACGTAGACGGAAGAAAGCGGTCGAACCAATGGACTCAATAGTGACTCCATGAACGACGGTAGGGCGACCGTCATCTCAGTATTGCACCAGCAACCTAAGTCCGATCTACACATATCGAACTTGTGTGCAAGTATACTGACAGAAAGATAGAGTTATTTCTTTCTTTTGGAAGGTATAGGCCTTACACCTGGCACTTTTTTCGTTCACCAAAATGTGCAGTATAACCCCAGAAGAAAGTGTTTGGTAGCATCGATGATGCATTCATAGAATATTTCCGGGCTTGCTTGTTGTAAGCAAATATCAGCCACGGGTACCCTTATTGGTTATTTATTATACTGATGTATTAGACTACTATAGCTATAGCTATGTCAGGAATGGCCTCTGTTGTATTTTGTATCTATTATTGAGATATATATAGTCATCTTTGAATTTGTTTCCATTCAAAGTATAAAAGATTGATGTAAACATTTACAGTGCAACAGCCGTAGCAGCCAAGCTAAAGCAGAAACACGGTACTGTCGCAATTCAACGAACGTGGACTCCTCTCCTTTGAATGAATCGTTTTTGATGCAATCATAGTATTGTTTGCACCCAACAAAGTACCGTATTGATGCATATAATGTACCTAGTACATATTCCTTCATATATGCAGCAGTACCACTGCAACGAAAGTTTCACATTCGTGTTGCAGTAGCAAGCGCGGTCGTACAGTACCATACAGCACCGTAGCGGTTCAACGAATATGAACTCGCCTTTGGAATGAATCATTCAATGCAAGAGTGTCGGGCTTGTTGTTTTCATGTACAGTATTTTGGAAACTTTTGGTCGGGGTCACACCGTGTCTGAGTGCCGACGCGATGCATGTGGGAGATTCCTGGCGTAGTAGTATTCTTGAGTGAATAATGCCCAATGATCCATTGCCCATAAGTCAAGTGGGCACTAGCTAGTGAAACACTTTTCTTTTTCCCCCCATCGAAGAAAGACCATTTCAAACCCATCAACTTTGTCATATATCCAAGGTCAACAATTCATGTTGTGCTCTTTTTTCTTCTTCCCTCCATCCATGGCGGGCATGATGAAACAAGAACTCCCAAAATCTCATCTTCCGGGCCCGCCATTGTAAAAGCAGAGGAAATATTATAAGCGATCCCACTCTGCACCGTGTTGTGCTCCGACAATAACAGCTCCCTTTGGAGGCAGAAACATGTTGAAAATGACGACTGTTGAGGCCAAAATAACTGGAAGAATGAATGAATGAATCAATCAATGAATCAATCGTAGCTCCGAAACGCATATTCCATGCTTGTCGTAGTATACTAGTATTAGTCAGTCGGGGGGATCACCATAATATGGTGATACATCAACTGATATATATATATATATATATATACGACAACATTCAATCCGTCAACTTCCATCGCTTCATTCTTGGATGCTCACAGCAATCTGTTCATTTTTTTAAAAAATAAATATAATGATTGATTGTTTTCGAAGACATTATGTTGGTCACGACGTGTGGCAGTAGGTACATGAAACCAGCACCAGAAGGAGAGAGAAGGACAGTCTTTCTTGCATTTGATTGGTAGGGTATGATTGTTGTTGTTGTTGTTGTTGTTGTTGTTCCGAGGTATATGGACACTATTGGTACCACAGCTACAGTGGTGTTTGGGTTTTTATTGGGTGATGGATAGACCCAACAACAGTCTCAAGTTGAAGCTGCCTCAGAACCTTTGGCTGCAACGAGCGACAGACAGACATAAACGCGCCATTGAATTTTTGAATTTCATAACTACCAAAATCGTGTACAAATCAACGTTCGAAATCAGCCATGTGCATCCCTTTTCCCGGAAAACGACTTGTCGTAGATCCTACACCAGAATGGGTAGCGCCCCAAACGCATTGCAGTATGGCGCGGTTCTGTCGTAGGATTCCTACGACTGAAATAAGCCGCGCACTAAACAACAAAGACACAAACCGTTTTTCAAAAACAAAAAAAAGGGCGCCCAGCTAGCCTACCAAGCATAGTAAAAACACAACCAACAACTCACTGCCACAACAAAAAAGAGAGTCTCCTCTTCTTTTGTGTGACTAATAGCAACAACGACAACGCAGATCCATTGCTGAATTGAATTGACATCATCCCTGTGTCGCATTCAACTATCACGCAAAAATCCAATATTCAAATCGCTTCGGCACGTGTGTGATAGTGGATAGTGATATCCAAGAGCCCACGTTCATTTTTTTGAATTTGGAGAAGTAGAATCATCAATTGCTTTATTGATTCATTGATTCATTGATTCATTGATTCATTGATTGATTGCATCCGACACTGTACACGCTCTTTCCTTGAGCCAGCCTACAAACTACACTGCAACCTACACAAACACACACACACACACAGACTAATCAAATGTCTACGGAAACACTTTCCCAAATCACACCCAGCCAAGCTCCGTCCTCTTTGCAAGGTCGAAGAAGTTTGCGCGCCAAAGAAGCAGCTGCAATGATGTCACCCACGACGGTAAGAAAGGCAGTCGAAGACAGATCCTCCAATGAACTCTTTTCTCCGACTTCGGCAGCTGCTCTGGCATTATCCTCCCTTCACCAATTTGGGGCCCAGCGGGACAATCGAGCTCCACCGGATACGGAACTGAAAGGAACTCGATTGTTCACTCCTGCTTCTACTACTGCTACTACTGCTACTACTGCTCCCTTTGTGTCACAAGAGGACAATGATGGTAATGAGAGCAACAACAGCGGCAATGACCTTGATATTGACATTGACATTGGCAGTCCTGCTGAATCCAATAGCGAATCCATCAGCAGTGAAAACAATGAAAACACCAACCGAAATGATGGCAATGCTCCTACCGTCATTGCCAACAAAGGAGAGGAGGAAGAAGCACAGAAAATGCAATCCTTTGCGCCTGTCTATCATCAGCACCAGCTTCAGCATCTTCATCAAACTCCAACTATTGCTCCCTATCCTCATCATCCTGGACAACCTCAACAACAGCAGCAGCACCACCACTATGAACAATACAACCCACAACTGCAACAGCAACCACCACTTTCTGCACCATGGAGACGTCCAGTGGCTCCCTTGCCAATGAATCATCATCATCCCAATGCTCATGCTCATCATCAGCCACACCATCATCCCCATCCACATGCGCATCATCCAGCGAGTTATGTGGCACGGTATCCCTACACACATGCCCAATTGGAATCCTCGTTGCAACATCAGCAACAACGAGACTACAGTGCTGGTGGATGGGAACAACAGCAACAACAACAACATTCACAGCAACATTCACAACAACATTCGCAACAAGGTGCTCCTCCTCCTCATACCTATGTAAGTTTCATCATTCATTTCGCAACAAGGTTTTGACATTCCCAATGCAACTCGTACCGGTACTCATTCTATCTATTTTCTTCATTTATTCATTCATTCATTCATTCATCCCTCAATTCGTTTCCTACAGAACCGAGCCTCGCCCGTTTCTTCTCTTGGGCCCTATGCGACCGCTCCCATGCAACCACCGCCACATGTATTGCATCAACACCACCACCACACGTCGCAGCCACCACAACCGATAGCAGCAGCACCTCACCATCCCAGCAACAAGTTTGCTCGTTTGGCGTCCTGTGCTTCGACCTTGGTCACGCCCACTCCCAAAAAGGCCAAGTTGACTCATGATGGTGGTCACAGTAGTCATAATCATGCTACTACTGCTGCTACTACTACGGAACAAGGCAAACAAGGAGGAGCCATCGCAACGATTGCAACGGCAACAAGTGCAGTCAACTATTCTCGAAAAAAGAAATCTTTGGGAATCCTAGCCGAAAACTTTTTGAATACCTATCAAGGCTTGGCCAAGGGATCTACCATTGTGGTCGACGAGGCTGCCATTAAACTCGGAGTGGAACGTAGACGCATTTATGATGTGGTCAATATTCTGGAATCCATTTGTCTCGTCTGCAAGAAACACAAGAATACATACACGTGGATGGGCATGGAACATTTGGATGCCGTCTTTGGACGTTTGCAGGCACAAGCCATTGCCGAATATCCATCGGATGCCCAAAAATTCTTGGGATCCAAGGAATGTTTGTCTCCCAAAGATCTACCCGCCATTCCACTCAAGCCGGCCCGCAAACAATCCAAATCGAGAGAAAACAAGTCTCTTGCCAAACTCAGTCAAGAATTCCTGCAAGTCTTTTTGGTAGGCCACGAAACACTTTCCTTGCCCGAAGCATCCGATAAGATTCAAGGAACCACCTCCATGGAAGAATTAATTGCCATGGGATCAAGTCGCAAGGAAGCCTCGACTGAGAAAGAGCTCAAGGCGGCAGCGGCCCGAGGCCTCAAAACCAAGATTCGTCGCCTCTATGACATTGCCAATGTCTTTTTGAGTGTGGGGCTCTTGAAAAAGGTCGATCGAGGGGATGCAAGTCGTCGACCCAACTTTTCGTGGAGTTACCGTGTCAGTGCGAAGGAACTCTACCAACAGTATCGGCCAGGAGCAGCGCAAAAACAACGACAAACACAACAAGTTGGTGGTGGTGACAATGATGATAATGATGATGATTCGGAACATGATGGTAGTAATCACCATCATTCACCAACAACCGCGGAAGTGGTGGTTCCAGCTGTGACCACCTCGTCGCGCTAATAAACCCAACAAATACAAACTACAAATCTCTTTCAAGCTTCATCGACTGACCAATAAAACCGTTAGTAGTAGTCCTACTGTAGTCAATTCAATTTTGTAATTTTTGTGGCAGGTATAATAGGTGATGAAGTACATTTTCTCTTTTTTTTTTAATATATAAAATGGAATTGGAATAGGTCCTAGGACTAGAGTAGAATGCAATTGTCTATTTTCAATTTATAATATATATTAGTACACGCTATAGCAAAATGTGGCGAAAACTTTACGAGGCAGGCTTTAGTCAGATGCTTTTTGCCGGTTCCCATCGGCTCATGTTCGCCGTCAAGGCTTCAATTTCATCACTCTTGGCCATTCGTTGGGAATACAGTTTCATTCGTTGACCATAGACCAAGGAGTGTTCTCGTAATATCTCGACAGATTCATCATAGGACTGCCTTCGGGCATTGCAGCTGGTTTGAGCATTCAACACATTCCGGACGTGATCCTTTCTCGTCTGTTGAATCAACCGGGACATGTGTCCTTCCAATCCACGACCAATGGAATGCCGGGTCAATTCCTTGATGCACTCTTCAATCACCAATTCGGGACCATCCCCAGACACAACTTTATCGAGAGTTTCGATCCGTTCTTGATGGTGCATTAGAAAGAAACGAATCTGTCGGACCAAGTCCTGTTTGATGGCCGACAATTCGTGACCAGAAAACCACAAGTCGCTGTTTTCTTTCCAGGGATCAATTTCGTGAATGTCTGACTTGACAGTATAATCCTCTTCTGTGGCCCATCGGAACTGCTTTTCGATTCGCATTGCTGCTGTGGCTGCTTCTTCCTCCTGTTTTTCTTCTTCTTCTTCTTCTCCGTCCTCCTTGAAGTCTTGTGATTGCGACTTTGTGTCTGCTGTATCTTCTTCTTCTCGCTGTCGTTGGTGTTGTTGCTGCTGCTTTCCATTATTATTATTATTATTAGTAGTAGTAGTCGTATCATTAGAATCATACACATCAACTTTGGTCTCTAATTTTCCTCGATGTTGCAAGGCTCGTACATGTCCTTGAAGGAGGTGCAACAAACTTTCAATGGGCATGTGATCAACAATGGCCCGAAAGACGGCGACATCTTCGTCCTCCTTTTTTTCGTACTCCTCTTCTAAATCCGCCCAATCTTCATCGTGTATGGAATGGTCGTCATCATCATCATCACCATCGCTATAATCGTCATCGGAAATGTAGTCGAGTATATGAGCCTTGAACGGATCCTCCGTCAATGGCACAGTCACTGTCGTCATGATTATGATTTTTTCTTGTTGTTATGCAAGGAGAAATGAAATGTAATCAATCAAGCTTCGTGACACACACACACACACATACACACACAATACAATTGTTTTGCTCTTTGAAAGTGTAGGTCTTTTTCAAATTCTGGAATTTGTGATGTCTTTTGAGGAAGGTGATGGCTGGCATGAACATGAACCTGAAAACGAAAGTCGTCACTGTCATCAGTCGTCGAACGGCCACGTGGACTTTTTGATTGGAAAATGTTGGTGGTGGTTGGTGGTATGGTCACAAAATGACGTGAGGCTACCTTTTTCGATACTTATTACATCAGACATGTATGCGACATTATATCAGACTCCCCTCCGTTTTCTGAAAAATGACGTAATCGGTGCAGTAATTTTCTTCTTTTGGTTTTGGTGAATTCTGTTTCCGCAATCTTCTTCTTCTTCTTCTTCTCTCTCACAGAAGCAAGCACAGTACCTACAATAATACGGTATTATGAGATCCTTCTCGTTTGACGCAATGATACCTCAATTGCTGTTTGTAACTGGGAATGGCAACAACCAGGAGATTGAAGAGCGCATCAAAGTGGCATCTCAGAATCCAGCCTACACGGAAATCTTTTTGTCGCAGGTTCCCGTGGACAATGCTCTCGTAGAAGGACTCATGGAACGATTAATCAGCAAAAAGTGGGATGGAGTTCATCTGTCGCAGTGCATGGGAATGATTCCAGAACTCATACAAGTCTGTGCGCCTCTTGTCGAGAAGTTTTCCATCATGGGAGACTTTGAATGTCTCGACAAGGAAGCTGCGGATGCCATTTCAGACGCATTGCAACAATCCAAAATTAAGAAACTCTTGCTGCGAGTCCAGTTGTCACCGGATCTGGCGAATGCACTATACCAGGCCACAGTGTCCGAATCTTGCAATTTACAAGAGTTGATACTGCCGATATCCCACACGTGCGACGCTTCCATTGAAAGGTTGGCGCAAGCACTGATGCATAGCAAAACATTGAAAACCTTGAGATTGAATCGAAATGGCCTCACATGGAAAATTGATGAACGTCAAATGGAGACTTTAATGATTGCGCTCAAGGGCCATCCCTCGCTCCAAGAATTGTCCATTCAAGGGTCATCCTGTACGGCAAGTAGCATGGAAGCAATCTGCCAACACGTGTTGCCTTCACTCAAAAGATTGGATTTGAGAAATCATCGGATTGGCGGGGATTCCCTATGTGGCCTACCATCCTTGGCGGCAGCCTTATCCAGCTCTTCGAACTGTACTTTAAAATCACTCATCTTGTCGGGGCATTCCTTGAGCGAGTCCGAAACAAGATTGCTCGTCGATGCCATTTCGAGTCAAAATTGCCAATTGGAAGAGCTGCAACTCAACAAGTGCAATCTTGACGACGTTTCCGTCACGATTTTGGGAAATCATTTGCCACAAATGCACCACTTGGCAGTCTTGCAGCTCCGCGACAATCCGTTCGTTGGAACTAATGGTTGTTGTGATGGATTGCAAGCTCTCTTGCAAGGCGTCCGTCAAAACTACGAATTGGAACAAATGGTGCTTCCCACCACAAGACATATGGGCGCAATGGGAGACGAAATGGAAGATCTAAAGGCACAAATTTACTATCAATTGGCATTGAATCGAGCTGGCCGCAAGCTACTACGAACCACGGTACCATTGTCGGTATGGCCAGTACTGTTGTCACGAGTACGAGAAGCCTTGGACTGTGACTATTCTTCCCATCATGGTAGTATGACTGGGATTCATTGTGCCGATGCGGTATATCACTTGTTACATGGACCTGCTCTTCTGCAACGATAATCTGGCTGGAGTGGGCATTCTCGCACAACAGTACTCTCTTCCAATTTATTTTGATGAGAGACTACAGGTCGTCCCGTATCATAATAGTGAACAAGTTTGTCACGAAGAAGAATGGTAATGAGAAACTGCTGGTTGGAATTTACATGCCATCAGGTCTCAATGTGAATGGACGATTACAGGGCCACTGTCAAAAGTCGAAGGTAGTCGCCGTCTGAAAAATCAAGAAGTATGAACGAGTTCCAAAGCATCGTTGCAGCCAGTCGGTCAAACCGAACACTTTTGGCTGGACATTCGTGCTGAAGCCTTGCGCAACGAGTTGATACACGCCTACTACACGGTGAAAAATCAATGCATCTGCGGTTTGTTGCCATGGGATTGGCTTTAGAGGACAACAAGCGAGATTGGCAGAGACAATGACACAATAATGGACTTTAAACTTCTGAACTGAGGTTCAAATACATATAAAATATACTAGTTAAATTAGGACTACAAAAAAGTTGTATTTTTTGAACACCTTTTTTAGACATTTTTTATTTATTTTTTAAAAAATAAAAAAAATTCATTTATTTTATATATATTAGAATAATTCAGAGACCGCAGGCACACTGTTCGATCACTTTGACTACACTGTGTTACAGACGGACAAAGGCCGAACGGCCTTCGACCGTCAAAAGTTGTTGTCGATGCGCCGAGGCAATGATGCCCAGTTTATCGACTGAGATTGAATTCACCCACTTGTGTCGTAATTTTTCTCTCCCAAACCCCACCCGCCCTGTTGGGCACCGCCTCCATTTTACCATATCGGCGGTGCCTGGTAGGAAAGCAGATCTCAGTAATACCGCACACGGGATTTCTGAGATTGGTCGAACGAATCGAGTCTATTACTCGATCAGTTCGACCCGCTTCACACCACAACCCACCAGCTACACACCAAGCAAAATACTACGAACGCACACACACGGAGAACAGCAGTACATATAGGCTATCTTAGATAGCGGTGCATAGAAAATCCCCAACCCCAAACAAAGTGTCAGTAAGACATTATCCGCACACGCACCATTGTCTTTGCAGATAATGAAAACTAAACATCGCGATCCGAACATGGCTCAAGAGAATGAAACTGTTGCCAAGTACACGAAAATGCTCAAGATGGGTTTGCCGTCAGGTGCAGTTCAGCAAAAGATGCTACAGGCTGGTGTTGCACCAAGTGTAATAGATGCAGTGATGGAATCTGGTGCTAGTAGTATTAGGGTGGAACGATCCGATGAAGACGAAGAATCTCAAGTCATTGAGAGCTACAAGAAAATGCTCAAGATGGGTTTGCTGTCAGGTGCAGTTCAGCAAAAGATGCTACAGGCTGGTGTTGCACCAAGTGTAATAGATGCAATGATGAGATCGACGGTTGGAAATTCGTCGGCGGAATTTACTGCAGTTGCGCCCGCTTCTTTCGCTGCTGAACAGACTGTGGACGATGAGAAACCAACTCCAATTTATGGGAATGATACCGTTTCTGAGTCCGAATCCGAGGGCGACACGAAAGTTGATATGGCGAACATTGCAGACTTGGACTATGATACACTTGTCAAACAAATCACGGCAAAGGAGCAAAAGATTCTCACTTTCTGGTTTTGGTCCAAAAGGTACAAGGACAAACGAGCTGTACTTCAGAATGAGATTGATGCGTATTGGCAAGAGCTAACGGGGAGAAATGAATATGATGACGATGATAAAGAACAATGGATAGCTCGAAAAGAAAATGGGACAACGCCAACTCTCTGGAAGACTACAATGACCTAAGTTACTCTGGCTGCAAAGAAAAAGGCAATCAAGTTTCTGAGCGAATGCAAGAAATTGGAAGCGCTGACATTATTCTTCCAGATAAGAAACTCCAGATCAGTACCCGTTGCGAATACCTTCGTCTTGATCGAGCATTCGCTCATTTCAGTAGCGTTCTGGTGGAAACAGACGAATTCAAAGTAGAGCAAGCCAAGAAGGAGAAGGAGTGGGAAGATTCTCACGCTGATGGCAACGTGGATGCCTTGATGAAGCTCCGACGTCACATGCCCCTCAATATCCGCCAGATGAGTGAGAATGATTTGTTACGTTTCGAAAGTCCAAGTTCGAAAGTTTTTCCAAGGACATTGGTTAGAAAGGCAAGTTTGTATGTACTCTTGAAAAAAGTTCTAGAGAACGAGTGTTCTTGAGCTGATTCGAGCAGCAGTTATTGCAAATATGCATGCCGATGAGTCGAGCTCGATGCCTTGGGAGTAGCAGGACTTACATTGACTGAGCGACGAGCGTTGTATGAACATTTAAAGGAGATTGCTTTGACTTGGGAGAAACAGAAAGTTCGTGATGATGCTACGAACCGAAAAATTGGTTGGTTCTCGACTATGAAGAGTAACTTGAAAGAAATGCTGAACACTTACGAACGCCATATGAAAGAATATGGTCCTCGTGGTTCGCATCCGTACGCAACAAGGGAACAACCCAATGTTGGATGTCCCTTGATTGGTCGACAATGTCCTTCGCGAGCTGACAGCGTAGTGAACTATGATACCGACTATGGTTGGCCAGATGGAGCGCTATATGAGAACCCAGACAATGTCAAAGAAGAAGAAGCTCCAGAACTTAATCCTGCCGAACAAGCGAAATGCAGACGAGCTCACTTGATCTCCTTGATCATCGAGGCATCAAAGACGAGGGCATCAAGCAACTCAAAATTGCGTCCAGAAACGATGACCTTCCTCTACACTCTTGGCCAATATCTCGATTGCCGGAAGCAAATGGATGCCAAGTATTTAGAAGTGGATGAGCTGCAAGTAATTGCCAATTTTTCAATAGAGATGGACTCCGACGGAATTGAAGCATCAGGTGGTGAAGACGGCAAGTTCAAGCCGTCTTATCAGCAACAAAGTGTACATGGTACAGCAGCCACAACGGTGAAGGAAATGATGCATGAAGATCCTGCAATTCATATCGTGAAAGCCAAGAATAGAATTGCAAAGCCGACTTTGACTGTCTGGCTACTGCGATATCAATATGTGTATTCAGATCGATGTTGTTCACGAGGTTTACAGATTCAAACATATTTGTGAGATTCAGGTCCATCACAAAGACCTCAAGCCACTCTCATCACTACTACGAGTACTTTCGTAAGTTTTTCGCTGGTGCTACTAAAATTCTCAAAGATCGCCTTGAGGACTTGGAAATGAGTCGCTAGGGTGGGGTTATGGATGATCGTGCATTGAAGAAGCTCCTGGGAAAAGGTGCAGACGAAGATAGGCTCGCACGCTTGGGAAGGCACTTTCGAGATCAGCTGTGTGAATACAACTGGGCATTGCGAGCTTTCGGGAAACTGTTGGAGCTTCTGATGAAAAAACATGGGCCAGAGAGCCCCATCGTGGCTGATGGTTACAAGGACATTCAGCGGGTGTTGCACGAACAAGGTTTTTTTTTCGGAGGCTCTTGAGCTCCTTCAAGCAAGCCTCTAGAAATACAAGCAAAGGTTTTGGAAAGTACTCACATATCGATTGTTGATACATATCGGTGCATTGCCATGGTAGTGGCTCAGGAAGGAAAGATTGACAAGGCATTGGATTTTTAAAAGAAAGCACTCGACATCGAGGGTGATTTGCCCGGAGAGGAAGGCAGCTTGCCGAAGGCAGATACGCTGAATCACATTGGCAGTGTACTCGTTGAACAAAACAAACTTGAAGGCGCCATGAAGGTATATTCAGAGTCGCTGGACATCAAATTGGCAAATCTTGGAAACGAACACTGGTCGGTTGCTGAAACCTACCAAAATATTGGACGTGTTTTCTGCCTTCAAGGGAAACTTGATGATGCCATTGCGAAGTACAAGTTTGCACTTGAGAAGAACATGCTATGATAGCTACCACATTTCGGGGCATGGCGAATGTCTTGAAGCAACAAGGCGGAGATTTGCACGATGTAATTGACCTTTATCAGAAGTCGTTAAAAGTCTTTAGGAAGAAGAACAATCGGTATTTGGTGGCTGAAACCTGTCGAGACATTGCACACGTCCTAGGCAGGGATGAAGAAGCGGCAACTTTTAGAGAGGAGGCTGCCGAAATTGACAAAGTTCTAGTTTTGGAAGGCACGCTTATAAATAATATGATGCGCTCAATGTTGGAAGACACAAGGGTCTACAAAAGGAGCGCTTCTAAACATGAAAGTGGAATGTGAATTGCTTGGCATTTGGCGCTGGTCTGCAACCAGCAATATCGAACAAAGGAAAACAATCATCGGATTTTCTAGTCTTTGGTACAAAATGTTCCTCATTCGCCTATATTATAGTCTATCGACTTGATCTCTCCATTTAACCAACCCCCAAATATCTTCTACAGCCGCAGGTGGCTCGACATCGATTCCTTTCTCTATGGCATTCTCACTTTGACCCCGCCGCAGCTTGCTCTTCTTTTGCTTGGTTGATGGTGTCGGCGATACCGATGGCGATGATTCCGAGATCTGCAGGGCCAATAGTTCGTCGCCATTCTTTAGAATGCTTCTTCTCGATGGTGGAGTACGCACGGAGTCGTAATACGACATGAATGCAGACTGCTGGTCCGCTGTGGCTCTACTCTGTCGACTTGCGTCATCAGGAGGAGGGGGGGGCTTCTCCGTAGGACTGTCGCTTTGCCTTCGCTTTGACGCACCATCCTTCTTTGCCAGCTTTTGTGGCTTGCTTTCCAAACTCCGTCTATTAAAGTGAGCTTTCCTCGGAGACCTCAATTCAGATTCTAGATCCGGTACTGTATCAATGGCTTTCTTTTTCGTGGTTGGGGAACGGATTTTGTCAGATTCCAAGTCTGGTATAGCAACTATGCTCTTCTTTTTGGCGGTAGGAGTACGGGTTTTGTCAATTGACTTTCGGCTGGAATTTCTTGGTGACTTTCCATCGCCACTCTTTTTGCGTCGTAGATTTGGCTTTTCCGCTTTCGGCGATCTCATGTCAGCGGCGTTAGACCGATTCTTTCTCGGAGACTTAAGCTCATCTTTCCGGTCTTCTGTCAAATTGACGATCATTTTCCTTGCGCTGGGAGATTGAAGCACCTCTAAACTCTTTTTTCTCAAAGAAGGAGAGCGGGTATTGTCAATCGTCTTTCGATTGCCATTTCTGGGGGATTTCGTCCCGCCTCCACTTTTTTTACGTCGAAGACTTAGTTTTTCTACTCTCGGTGATTTGCTTCCGCTATTTCTTCGCCTTCGATTCTTCGTTGGCGAAAGAAGGATATCGGAATTTTCTTCGACACCAATATTCTGCTGTTCTTTTTGACTTTTACTTCGTTGTCTTCTCGGACTATTAGGTGCAATAAACTCACTTTCACAAGGCGCATTAGCTCTCTTCTCTTTGACATCTCCGCTCCTACTCCCACCAGTTGGAGCCATACCCTCTCCATTGTTCTTCTCTTCGCGTCGCTTGAGGCGTGATCTTTCCAAGGGCCCCATACTTGAGCTACGACCAACGCCTCGAGTACGATTACGTGTTCTCTTAGTAGCCTTTGCAGCACCGGCGTCGTCTTTATCGTCTGAGCTTATTCCTGTGTGATCCATACTTTCTGTAAGACTCAAGTTTGCGAGAAAGTCTTCCGTCCCTAAACTTTTGCTTCGGCCAGGAGCTTTTCTGCTTCGAGTTTTCGAACGCTTCCTACTTCTTGTCTTCGATGACAGTAGCTCAGCTCCATCAGTCTCGTGAGGTATCTTTCCCTCGTCACTTTTGGAAGTATTTTTCTCTCGATCTGAATCGTCTCTAGTAGTGCTATCGAATTGCATTTCACGATTCAAGTCCTTCTTGAATTCCATACTTTGACTGCGACGTAGACTAAGACTCGCAGTAGGCTCACTCAGTGTTGTCAACTCAAGAGTATCTGCACTCTCTCCTGAACTGTTGATTATTTTCCTGTTTTTTGACTTATTCTTCGATTGTGTGTGTGAATCATCGTTATTTCGTCCGTCAGCCTTCAAACGTTTCGACGCATTAATTTTTGAGCTTGTCTTTCGCCCAAAAGCATTGCTGCTAGCCGAACGCTTCACGGTAATTTCCCCATTGGTGGTAGCCGGCGTTTGCTCGTCAATGTCATCTTGCCTCGACAAAATCCTTGATATCCAAGACTCTTTAGGCGTCGTGGCCTTTATCGATTCCATCACAAGCTTCTTTCTACCTGCTCTTGTGGCCATTCTTGACGTTGCCTTTAACGATGCTGCGAGCTCTTGATTGCCACCTCTGCAATTATCTCTTGAATACTTGTTTTCAGGGTCTTCGAAACTTGACGATACTGGCAGAACCCCTTCCGATGCTATCTCTGCAGACCTTAACACAATCTCACGACGGCGGTGCTTTGTTGTCATCTCGAATGCAGCAAGGAAACTGACGCTTCTGCTAGTTACTTTATCCGTCACTCTTTGATTCGGCGGAAGCCTCCCAGGGAAGACTTTTATTATGCCTCGGGCTGAATTACTCTTCGCACCCATATCTTGGTCCGTTTCCACAACTGTATCATTTGTTCCACTCCACTCCTTTCTGACTTTCTTCTTGCCCTTCGTATCCATTTGCGCCTCATTGGAATTTTGTGCAGTCTCGTCGTCGGAGCGAGTACAATCTTGCCTCGCTTCGTCTATGAGTTCTGCCGTGGAAATGCCCGCGCCAGCATATTCGGCAGCTTCATCTCCGAATGTCCTCGAGCCATCTTCCCAAGTCGGCGGTAACGTGGAATACGTAGCACTGCCATCTTTTTCATTTTCAACAGGAGTCTCGTTTCGTGTAGTACGAACTTTCGATCCATCCTTGTCACTTTGATTTTCATCGACATTCTTGGTTTCCTGGAGACAATGGATTGATTCCAACAACTCGTTTGGCAGCTCAAACTTCATTTTGTTCTTGCTTTTTGTTTCGCCGTTGCTTTCCCGTAACGATTTCGCCGTTGCCTTGTTTCGTGATGCGTTGCCGGCACTAGAGGAAGCTTCGTTATCATCGCTTTCATGGAGCTCTGCAGAAGCTTCCTCTGACAGCATCGAATCCCCGTCTTCGTCACTACCGGTTGCTCCATAATCAATATCGTCCTCTTCAAGCTCCTCAAGGACCGTACTCTGAGTTGATCGCATTGAATAGATGGATTCTCGCGCATAGCTCGCCGATTCTCCGAGCTCGTCATCAAATACACGCAGAGCATCTCTTCGGGAGCCAGACCTGCGGCTGAAAGTGTCATCATTCAAGCTTTGTTCATAATACACGCTTTCTTGCTCCGAAAAACTATCATTGTCATTCGAAAGAGAGAGGTCGAACGATACACTACTGCGGTCGAATGGTATAGTTGGTACGCTAACGCTCCCAAACTCGTCATCGAAGATTCGCATAGAATGTGATGTGTCCCCAGGCTCAACGTGATCGTTCTGCTCGTCCCCTTCTCGTTCCCCAATAGTGTCTTCTCGAGCCAATGTATTAATAATTGCTGGCGGAATAGATAGAGTCCCCTCTTCCGGCGTATCTTCATTCTCTATTGCCCGTGCCATGTCAGAATGAGACCTTGCTTTAGGCTTATCCTTCATCACACCATCAACTCTCATGACGATATCACCAATAGGAAAATCAAGAGATTCTGCTTCATTTCGAACTTTTTTGCTCTTGGGAACACTTCCTCTCTTCTCGTTTGCTTCGTGCAACGGTACATTTGGGAAATCTTTGAGGTCGTTCTCGCCATCAGCACCTGCAGCATTAGATTCTGCTTCTGCTTTTGCATCGGGTGAGTTTAAAGATTTCGGAGAACCAATGTCACTTTCGCCATTTGCTTCGATAGACTTGCTTCGTTTCTTCTGCAGGCGATCCTTCCATTTCGCGGCCTTTGCTCCACGATTATTTTTCGACTCAGGTGAAGCCTTGGCGAGCGTGAGCTCTGTCATTTCCGCACGACTGCCACTTTCTAGTATGGTTTCGTCCGCTTCGGGCTCCTTTCGCAAATCCGGCGTTGGTGTAAGACTGCCGTCGTGCTGTTTCTCTTTTGATTCGTCTTCTTCGGACTTCAGTGTATTTGACTTGGAGGGACCAGTACCCGAGTCTTTGGCTGCCGATGTTGCAGATACTGTCGCTTGATTTTCTGGCTCGTCCGATGAAACAATATTAATATCCATTTTGTCGTCATCGTGTTCTCCTTCAGACTTATAATTGTCTCGTTTCTTCTTGAGCCTATCCTTCCATTTTGCAGCTTTCTTGCTAGACTTTGGAGATGTTGCCTTTCCGAGTTCAGCAGACCCTGGTGATTCCTCCACATTTATCTTTTCTTGCTTTGAATTTTTCGCTGTTTCGTGGAGTCCAGTTGTTTGGGGCTCAATTGGTTCTGTATCCACTTCATCATCGGTATCTCCAACCATTGGAAAATCTGACAATATTGAGACTTCTGATATCCGCTTAAGATGTCCGCTATCATCGATATCACTGCCATATTCAGAGTCTGCTACTTCCACAATACTGTGTAGCCCAAATGACTCTAGCATGACAGAATCTCTTCCCTCCAGGCCTCCCATGTGATCAAAGACATCATCAATAATCTCTTCCGCGAATTCATCATCGCTCACGACGTATTCAATTACTTCGATGTCGACCCCTTCTTTCAGTGCCGCTATACTTCGAGCTAGTTCGGATTCCTCGGCCAATTCCTTGCTGTTGTCCACCGAAACGGAGGAAGCAGGAAGATCCAAACCAGGGACGATTGTTGAATTCTGAGAACCTGAAGATGGTGATGACGATGGCGCCTTCTGCAGCATATCAATGCCAAGCTCACTTCTCAGATACGTCTGCATTTCGGTCAGTGCCTCGTTCTTTGGTGCTTTTTTCTTTGGCTCTTCTTCCTTTGGTTCCACCTTTACCGGTGTCTCAAGCCCAAGTTCGCTTCTCAGAAAATTCTTCATTTCACTCAGAGAATCTGAGGATGCAGGGATTTCAACATTTGTTGGTGGTTCAGCATGTGCCACGGCATCGTTCATGGAGGAAAATGAATTGTGGAATGAGGAAGAGTCGTCCAGAGACTCAAGGGTGTACTCTGAGTACACAGAATCAACCTCTTCAAACGTGTAGCTGCTCGTAGAATGCGCAGAGCCTTCCAGCGACTGTCCAGAAGACCTCCGCCGACTTCTCGTCCTGGAACGTTGACTACCATCTAGAGGGACTACAATGTCCCCTTCTTGAAAGGATTCCATTCACACGGCGGTGTATCCGTCAATGTACTCTTCCAATTGTGTTCCCAGAAACCCAAGCGACTGATTTGTTGCCTTTTCACAGGAGAGCTTTGTGCTGACTCAAGATCTAGTACATCCAGTAGTGTCTTTCTAGAAGTCTGAAATTAACTTCCTTCTTGGTTATCTACAAGCGAAACAAGGACGCCAAGAGGAAGGCCAACACAAGGTCAAGTATTTTTATCACAGACAGATACACGAGATCGTAATAGCATGTTGCCACATGCGCCCAAGAGCAAGGGGATTAGATAGCTAAATTGTTCTGAAAGCGTTATATGCAACGAACTCCCAATAAACGCCCGCGAAAACGGTATTAAGTATATTTTTCAACCTACTTATCAGATTTTCGCTCTAAAATGCGAAACAAGTTCGAAAGTGGGTCTCGAGAGTGGTATCATAAGAGTACAAAATATGTGCAAATAGCGAAATATGTCGATTTTATTATTGTAGGATATTTTCTATTGTAATGTAAAACAAATGTTTTATATTCTGAGCTGGAACGGTACCGATATTGAGAGCAAGAGAGAAGTGTAAAGTGCTACTCTTATTAGAGTGGCAACAGTCCAACAGACACCTTTGTGGTTTGTCGTGGATACCAGACAAAGCCGATACTGGAGAGCTTGGCAATTCTCTCTGTAGTCATATGACTCTTCTTTCCTTGCTGAAAGAGTTTGAATTGCCTCCTTTGGCACTTGACCCATGTGGACAGTCGTGGGTTTGCATCGTATCTGCTTGGGAGATTGGAGTGTCCATGGTTGGATTGGAATTCAACAAGTTCATGGAATCGTTCTTCCCAAGTGGCGCGGTGAGAATCCCACACAAAACCAAGCTTATCGAGAGCTTGTTCTCGAGAATTGGTCAAGGTAGAGTGCTTTCCGGATTGTTTTGTCTTGTGTTGACCTCGTTGGTGCTTGATCCAATGAGCGAGTGCTGGATTCTCAGGCCAGTCAAGAGGGACAAGGCAGTGGCCGTGTTTGGAACGGAATTGAACAAGATCTTGATATCGTTGGTGCCACTTCTCCGAGTGGCTCTTGGTGGAGGTCAATCCATCGCTTAAACTTTCAGAGTCGCTCTTGCAACATAGTTCTTCATTGAGGGAGTGACGTTTTATCGGCGGCGAGGCGACCGAACAGTCTTGATGTTCGATATTGGATGCATTGGATGCCAGTAGTGGACTTCCTGAAGAATTCAAGAGAGCCAGAATGCCGCTTCGTAGACTGTCGCGGACGAATCTCGCATCATTGAGACTTACACGATCCACAATCGTCATATCATGAACGGCAATGGGAGTAGGCTCTGGCATCATGTCAACGTGGTGATGACCAAGTGGGTGCATAACGAGGATCTCTCTGTTCATTTTTGTGTTTTGCGAAAGTATGGCAATAAAGTGGGATGGACGAGTTCCCATTCTCACGAGTTCCCATTCTCCCGAATTCCTTCGAGTCTGAGTTCAACCAAGATTGTCCGTCGGAAACCGTGGAACAAAATTCTGTTAATATATCTCATGCCTGGTTTCAAATTTGTCTAACAAAAGTGTCAGTGAATTCGATCGGAAAAATAATGTGGCCAAGCCACAATGTAGAATAGTTTCAGTGTTCGACGCTGTGGAATACCTCGGAACTGTTCTCTATATCATCATGCTTAGCGACGCACGTTCCTCAAGAATTTTAAAGCCCCGAAGATGTTCTTTTATTGAAGAATGCGTTCCTCACTCCACATCTGATCAGAGACGCAGGAACAACTACCAGTTTACCGTAGGTTGAATTCCACACCAGATTGTGGAACCTACCAATCCTCGACCACATCCTACATTGGCCTGAATTCAATATTCCATTGTGGAACCTATTCGCCAAGATACTTCGTTTTTTAAGTAATCTGTTTAGGTTTAGCCAGAATTATCAAGTGGTTTCGTATCATTTGTGGTGGAAGCCATTCGCCCTCTTGAACTTAGCTTGAGCCAAAGCTTTGTCACTTGTGGAACTCCCCTTCTCTACCCCAACTACCTGGTACCGGATTTTTGCGCTGGGACTACCAAGCCTTGACCATACATTACTCCGCAGTTGCCTGTGTGATACCAACAGAACGATCATTCCACTGTGGAACCTATTCGACACAACAATACCGTATTGTTGGGGCGGTGAAATACGCAATGACTATTATTACATAACTACGAAGTGTTGCCACAGGAGTTTATGCATGTCATTGTGGAGGAACCCATTCACAATTGACCTCAAAACTACACAAGCCACAATTGCTCCGATACCGAACTCGACACCGCCCAAACTAGTATTCCATCACGGAACCCGTTCGACAAAATGTTTGGGGTCACGTGAGAGTGTCAACTCCAGAGGAGAGGAAGTTCAAAGAATGCATGTCAGTTGTTGAACCCAGTCGCTGCCAACTGGAGGCAACGCATGAAGCACTGAGATCTGTGATGAAAGCCAACGAAAAAGCTGTGAGCCCGAAAACAAAGACGATTTGCAAAAGAGTGTCGAACCGTCGTTACAAGTGAATCAGAAAAGTTGCGTAATAGTTTGTGTCGTCACTATCAGTCGGACAGCTCCAATAGAAAAAAAGGTTTTCATCACATTCACTCATTCAAACATCCATAATTTTTCAATACTCTCGAATTTTTCTTACCTAAAAGTGACCCGTAGGTGAATGGTCGTCTTCAGTTAGTACCACTGCTCATTCTTCCACTCGCTTGTATAAGACATAGTCGACATATGCCACGCCACCTTGGGTCTCTGCCTGTTCGTGCAGAAAGGGCAAGTACAAGGTTCGGTGTAGAGTACTGGTGCGCTCGGCATCCAAAAAGGAATCTTGGGCAATGGGTTTCCAGATGAAATCATTCTCACGGCAGTCCGATGTCCACAAATCAATGAGGTAGTCACAGTCGTCCAACGACACGTACGAACCATATTCCGGCAGATTCTTGTCATTGAACTGATTTGGTGATCTCGGACCACTTCCATCTACTGTGAAAAATTGAGGAAGTTGTCCTTCAAACGACGATTGGACAAATCCGAACGAATCAATGGTGGACGGCAGGTAGAAGCTGGAAGGGAATCGATACCATTCGCCACAGGTACAGACCAATGCATCGACAATGTCGGGATCACTCTGCAACTTGGAATAGACCGTGAGCGGCGCCGTGTAGTACTTGGCCAAGGCGGTGGCACGACTCAGCGACAAGATGGCTGACGGAGTCCACAATAGCAATTGAATCCACAACAAGCGTGTTCTTCGTCGTTTTAGTGATGCTTGTTGAGGAGAAGAATGCCACCAAGATAGCAATCCATCCACAATAGTGACAGTGGACATTGCCGCTCCAAGACAAATGCAAGGATAGATGGGAAACAAGAATCGTTCTTCCTTGTGTGGTCGAGGTGCGACTACCAGCAACCAAGCATACATGGGCAGTAGCAAAATCAACAACTGTTGCATCCTTCGGTCTTGCTTCAAGACAAAGAGTGGTAGAACACCCGTGACACCTATCAGGACATAGTTGAAATTGAGGAGTAGATTCTTGATATAGTAGGTCCATGGTTCGACACCGTACAGCTCGTCACCTCCCGCCTTGGTGTTGTAGATGAGAATGTTCCAAACGGGGGAGACCAGCTTTTGGTACTGTTGGTAGTCAATCAGCATGACGGTGGCTTGAATGACCGCTGTAATGAGCACAATCTTGCTGATAAACTTGGTCAAATTGTTTCGTTCTCGGACTAGAATGGCAACTCCAATCGGGACAAACATTAGTACGCCAAAGGGCCATCCAATGGCCAAAGTCGCCAGGACGGCAACCGTGACAAAGAAAAGGTGCTGCTGTTGCAAGAAGGCAGTTGCCCCCAACAACCATAGAAATGTCAAGGTAGAACTCGGCAATAGCGCACCACTCGCATGAGACATGCCGGCCGACGTCAAGAGCAATCCACTCGTGACAATTCCAACCGTTTCACCAATACTGGTTGTAGTAGCGGATGGTCGAGCAGTAGTAGTGGTAGTAGTAGTAGTAGTAGTACTGGTAATAATGGATCGGCAAAATAGTACTTCGGCCACTGCCATGGATGCTGCAAGCGTGGATCGCAAGAGCAAAAACAAGGCAACTTTGTTGCTGTTGTTGGTTGGATCCTGCTGCTCCGAGAGAACCACCGCCATTTGGTCCGAAAGCAATGGCCAACACCATGCTGGAAGATACGGTATCAACGCTTGATATACCTTGGCCAATCCCAGCATGGGCATTAGATAGGAATAGGTTCGGAGGGCAAACTGATTGGCATATTCCCATGTCTGAAAGCCACTGCCGTAAAGCAAAAAATGCAAGGGTTCCCAGTAATTATAAACTTCATCGCAATCCATGATTGGCATTCGATTGGCCAACCAAATCCGAATCCCAATGTGTAAGGGAATCCAATAAGTTGTCCACCATTGCAAGGGTTTGGATTCTGATTCGTTCATATTCTAGACATTTGATTTTACAACACTGAGCGAGTAAAGATCAGTAGATGTATTAGTGTTTTATGGAGAATGACGAGAAGAGAAGCTTTGTGAAAAATGAATGGATTAGATCTACCAGTATCCGACATGATGCCAGTCTTCGCATCCTCCTTCGCATCAGATGTTCGTCAGTGGGAGTGGAAAAAGTGTATGGAATGAAAATTGTCTCATGCGACATCGCAACGTCACCGTTGGGTTGGTAAAGTCTCTACGTAGAAGGTACGCACTTGCCGGGTTACCACCAAATTTTTCAAGCAGATGACTTGGGCTTGGATGACCGAGAGGATGACTTGCAGATCTTGCAGTACTGCAGTGCCGTGGAAAAAGATCAAGATCGAGATTGCAATCATCACTCCGGCACCTATCGCAAGGCAGTTGATATACAATTCATAGATAATCATGGCAGATAGAGTGGAAAAGCTGGAGAAAGCCCAAGAGCACTACGATCTTGGAAAGGATCTTTCCTGGAACAAGGGAGACTTTGATACGGCACTTATCGAGCTTCGAAAGTCTCTTCAGTTGCGAGAGTCAGTTTGGGGACAATTTCATGATGAGACTTCAAAGGCATACTATGAAATCGGCAGAGCTTTGTTCGCCCAAAAGGCTTACACTGAATCCTTGGTTGCTTACAGAAGATGCTTGAGAATCCGTGTCAGTCTCTTTGGTAAATTCCATACGGAAACCAAGAATGCCGATCACTGTGTGCGTCTGGTCGTTCAAGCCAAAGGATTGTACAGTGGACGAGAAATCAATGAAGCTATTGACTCAATCTACTCTTCCATGTCCCATGAGATTGCAGGAGATACCTACCGAAAGGCTGGTCGTAATGCTGAGGCTCAACTAGAATACATCAAGGCAGCTGCCATTGAAGAGTACTTCTTCGGAAAGAACGGTGACATTATTGGGGATATCAACAGGAAGGCTGGAATCAAGGCTCCACCACCGCCATCAAGCCCTGGAAAAAAGAAGACCAAGAAAGCCAAAGACTAAACTGCAAAACATACATGTTTTCACCGTTGGGGGACAGATCATGGATTGCAGAGGCTGACTTCTTTCACATGTCAGAAAACACTACAGTATTATCATTCGATTGGCAATTGATGCCGATACTGAATACAGAACGCAAAAACATACAGACTAATTCGTATTTGTTAGTAAAAACCTCCCGTGTTATTTGTTTTATAATATACTTCTTCTCTTGCCGCCAAAACAACTAAGAATGAATCTTGTACCGGTATCTGAATATATCAGATTTTACCAGGCACGAACCGTGAACGCCGTCTGAGGGAAAGACCTTTCTGTTCAACTAGTCGTAGTAGTCAAATATTTATGATCGGAGTAGTCTAGTCACGTGATTTCAGTAGTCCGTCCTTTTCATCCGAAATCTTGCCTCCTCGTTGTATACCCGGTACCCTGGTACATTGCGATTGCTTGATTGATCGCATGGAAAAGCTGATACGAGATGAATACGACATACTGTAGTTCTATATTATATTATGATAGTAAATCCTGTAGCATTTATCCCATCAATCCAAGCCCCCTGTAAAGACTAATTTCCATGGATTTGGTCAGTTCATCGAAACTACCACCACACACTAACTCTCCTGCTTGGTGTCGTTGGAGCTGATCATGATGATGTTCCATTCCTCCTCCTTCTTCCGCCGCCGATGCTGCTAGTACTGTTTCCTCCTCTTCCAAGGAATCCAATCGACTCTTCATGTCTTCAAAGCCCATGGCAGTTTTGGAAACTTGGGAGCATTCTTCGATTAGCATGTGTGACATGCACAATGTCTTTTGATGTGAATTCTCGGACACATTGTAGACATGATGAAGCATGTCCAACAAACCATCAATGTCTTGAAGGTCCCGATTGGAAAAGCCAGCACTCTTACTCTTACTACTTTTAGTAGTAATTCTCGAAGCAATCGATTGGAGTGCCACCATGGTATCCAGGAATTGACTCCTTCGCTGTTTCTGTGCTTCCGATTCGTCGCTTAGGTATTGGATGCACTCCTGAATATCAGGATCGTCATTTTTATCGTAGTCGTCAACAATATTGTACCTCGAAACAGATTTGACTTCCTCCAGTTCTCGAGTCAACTTGGAGACCTCATCTCGTTTCTCTTTCTTGACTTGCTCGAGAATTTTGTTCATGGTAACAGTCTCTTTTTCGTGCAAAACTTCATGATAATCAATGACTTCATTCAGTTTCTTCAAGTACATTTGATGTGATAATTGTGCATGACACAAGTCGGATTGCAGTCGATCCACTTCTTTTCCGTGATCCCTCTTTATTCGTTCCATTTCAATGTAGAGTGCTCCCTTTTCTTGATCAAATTTCTCTCGCTGATCTTTCAAGGCTCGTTTCAGTGTTTCGGTTTCCGCGTGATCGTAATGGGATGAACGATGTTGAGAACGATAATGTCGAATCAATGGCGAGGATGATGTTGTTGGTGGTTCTGCCTCTGGAGGGTCTCTGTGAGTCTCTCCGAGTACATGGTCAAAATCATTCAGTTGGTCCATGATGGTCCTTTGGGTTCGTGTTGGAATGGAGGAGGAGGAGGAGGAGGAGGATTCTACTGGTCGCTGTTGTGATTCTTGTCGTTTCGATTGTTTCCGCCGCCGCAGTGGTGGTGGTGGTGTTGTCAGCGGTATTCTGGCACCTGGCCAATCCTCAGCCGTTGTCCTATAGTCGCCATCATCACCATTATCGTCATTATCATCAATATCAATATCAATATCATCATTCAATAAGGAACGACGGTGCCGTATGCTGTCTCTCCAATTTTGACTATTGAACCTTCCACTTCGACTAGTATTATTCCGTGAACTTGTACCTCCAGCACTCGCATTTCTAGTTTGATCTATTCGTCTATCTTGTCTGACGGTGGGTGGTGTTCGTTCCTCGTGATTGTAATCATCGTCCATTATGGTCGTCACGTCCACGGGATCAGTGACAGAGCCCCGGCTGGAATGAAGCAGCAGGGATGCAGTCGTCGTCGTCGCCTCATCATTATCATCATCATCATTGTTGTTGTTGTTCCGGGCGTTGCGAATCCGATGCGCGGCTTCCCGTCGTGCACTTTGCAGGTAGGTCAAATCATCCGTCAAGCTCGTCAACGAATCCGTGTCCCCACTATTTAGTAGAATGTCGTCGTCGTCGTCGTCTTCGGGTTTGGTGTGTACATCATATCGATCTCGTCGTCGGGATTGTTGTCGTTGTTGTTGTTGTTTGCTGTTGTTGTTGTTGTTGTATGCAGTCTTGTAAACATTGTATCCACCATTGCGGTCACGTCGTGTCCTTTTCATGTGATCCAGGTGCGATCCATAGCCGTCAATCATTCTACAAAAAGAAGAAGCAACGAAAAATAATCAATGAAAGCTGAGGTTAGCAACTATATATATATAATACATAAAAGATCAACGGAAGCATGATCATATTGGATCATAGTACAACAGCAATCTCTCACTTTTTGGTTTGAAAACAGCTTTTGGCCAAGTTTTCTTCGAACGAACTTGGTCGACGGGACCTATTTGTGGTGGTGTTGGATGTTTGAAATGTGGCAAGCCGCCGTCTTGGTCGTTCTATTATTGGATCATGGTGATGATCATAAGATGGTTGTTGTTGTTGTTGTTGTTGTTTGTGTGCAAAATAATGTTTCAGGTACTTCATGTTGCTTCTATGTGTGTGTGTCCCCCCTTGGGAGCAGCAATGGTAGTGGCGATGTCAAAGAGTTACAAAGCTTGTTCCATAGTCCGGCGTCATCTCTCGGTTGGGATTTTTCCTTCCTAAACTCAACGGACGTCAACGGAACGAGAAAATCGCAGAAACCATCATTGCGTCTGTTCTACGTCAGTTTGAAGCCAATCAGTCGTGCAAAAAATGGATTCGGGGGACCCGGTAGGCGCGTTCGTTTATTGCTTCCAATGAGGTCGTACTGTAGGTATTGTATTTTCGAATTTGTGTTTTGGCTCAAACTGTAGGTGCAACCAAACCGAAACAAAATAGATACCACCATCATCATGCCGACTAGAGGATTGGTAAGTCAGTGAATATGCGTGTGCGACATGGAAATCAACAAGTCAGCAATAGCAACAACAACAAGATCTGATGATGTACAATAGTCCAATATAATTCATTCATTCATTCAGTCATCCATTCATCCATTCATCCATTCATCCACTCACGCACGCATATGTCTTATTGTCTATGACGTTTGGATCCTTTCAACTTGTTTCAATAACGTTTAGCAAATCTTGGCCACCGTTCTCAATTGCCGAGGAACCGTATGGCTCGCGGTTCTTCCCTTCTGTTTGGTGAATTGCGCCATTCTTTGGGCTGTCGAATTGGTGGACATTTCGTTTCCTGCCAGTGGTCATGGATTGATGACGTTGATCATTTCCTTTTTGGTGGTTTCCAAAGTCAGTTGGTCGTACGATCGGTACATGAAGGCCCGCCATGGGCTCGGGCAAGCCTTTTGTAGCTTACGAGAATTGAATCAAACATGTTTGGGGTATACATTGGGTTTGGATCAAGATGCAATGCGATGGAGAGAAGAAGTAAGTGGATTTTATATATTACCGATATATATATATATATTATACTATACTAGACGTGCGCACCTGACGTCGTCGCTGTTTTCGTTTTACTAATACAAACATTTTTCAATCCACATTAGGCAACATCCAAAATGATTGCATTGATCGATTGTACGGTAGACACATTAAAGGTGAGTTTCAATTATCTTGAATGGCGGCATGCGTAGTGTCGTCGAACAACTTGTCTCAACATTTCTCAATCATATTTGTGTCTCTGTATAGGACCAAGAAACGGCAACCTATCTTGCCCGAAACGTCACTCTGAATCCCAACACTCCCAAATACGATCCCATGAATCACGTCCAAGCCCTAAGGTTGCATTTGTACAAGGGATCTATCTTTGCCTTTCATGGAAAACTTCATCTTATTGAACGAATACGATTGGTTGACTTGTTGAACAATTACGTGGCAAATTACAAAGTCTTGTTGGCCTTGGCCAGCACACCCATTCCCTTTCCGCTCATTCAAATGGCCCGGACCTTTTTGTTTTTATATACCTTTACCATTCCATTCATGATGCGGGGGGTAGCCGAAGATATCTTGTTGGCCATTTTGTTTGTATTCTTTTTGACCTATGGGTTCATTGGATTGGAAATTGTGGCCACGAAACTCATGTTTCCCTTTGGGGATGGAAGCCATGGGTTGGGAATCACGGGACTCCGGGATGCTGTCATCCGAGGGATTACCAGCGACATTGCTCTGGTGGGAGAATCGACGGCATTCTTGGGCAATAACAATCATCACAAAGGTGGCAGCAGCATTGATTTCGATGCCTCGCTCTATGCCGGCATGGGGATGGACGATGTCGAAACGGTCGGCACGGATGAAGCAGGGAGCTCCATCTACATACCAATGGTGTAAAAGAACTTCGTTTTCGAATACTGTATGGATATATCAATATATATTATGTATAATACTCAACGCTTGAGTGTTCTGAGGGTTAATAACAATGAAATGGGGAACAATAAAACTAAGCCAAGCTATTACGTATATTTGAAACGAATGAATCAATCAATCATCCAACTTGCATTTGTATTGGCAAAACACATCTTTTATATTATGCTTATTATTATTAGTCTACTCTAACCGCTGCTGGCTCATCAAGTTTTCTTCTATGTAAGCTTGACGAGACATTTGGTTGGTAGCTGAGAACCAGCTTCCAACATGAATTCCTCTAAAATTGGTTTGACCACATCTTTTCCACTCTCTTGCAGCATATCAAACACCACGTTCATTCCTGCTCCAATGTCCATTTGAATTTGACCCAAATAGTAATCATGGTTTCGAATGTCATTCTGAGCTATGGTTTGCTGCTGTTGCTGATCATCCTCGTCCCCAAAGGCACATACATGCCGCGTTGTTTCCCGAAGCTTCGGCAATGCAATTTCGACATCCTTCCATTGGTAGTACTTTGGACAAAGCAATTGGCTTGGTTTGTATTCTCCCTTGTATCGCATCTTTTGACAAGATTCAATGTAATAGCCCAAATAATAGTAGGGCTTTTGGAGCTCGCGGTGGGTATACTCGATCTCTTTCAAAGTGGCGTACTTGCCAAGGGGGACAAGCCGATGCGAGAACGCGGGATCATAGTAAAGATACACGGACGAGAATCCATCGGGCAGGATATCCACCACTCCCACTGCCACCAGGGATTCTCCAATTCGGTAGTGTTGGTGATAGTTTCCACAGGCTGGGGCCTGCAATGGAACGCTGCCATCACCAAAGGGGAACGGAGCTTCCACCAAAAATTGATAGTAGCTGTAGAAATTGGACAAAATTGCATTGTGAAGCTCCTGGTCTTGGCCTTGTAGGAGTGCGTTCAGTGTGGATTCGATACGATCCAAAAAGTATTTCGGAGCATTTCCCCAATCTAGTTCCGATATGACGATTTCCTCTTCGTCTTGTTCATCACCACCCTTTTCCTTTGGCGGAGAATCTTTGGAAAACGGATCTGGATCGTTATGGACAACGTGCTGATATCTAGCGTACAGCCGAAAGGCTTCGGGGTCTAACGCCGATTCATAGGCTGTTATGGTTCGGACCGTGAGTTCCCGCTGTGATGGAAGCAGAGCCTTGTGCGTAGCTTGGTAATACCAAGCACCGAGCTTGTCATCCGAATCATCGCTTTCGTCCCTCATGCTCACATCCAAGTAATCCGCTGGAATGCTTGGAGTTTCGAGTAGCTGAAGAGTGATGATGATTTGTCCGCTGGGTGGATGTGCGCGAGCTCCAACAACCGACACTTTGCCACCACTAAAGTCAGTCGTTTTGGGCAAAATAAGTTGCTGAATCACAGTCTGGACCACATTGTGACGTTCCAGTCCTAGTTTTCCAGCCACCTGAGCACATATGCTAGATACAACTTGAATTATATTTTGCTTTCGTTCTTGTTTGGACTGTTTCCTTACTTTGAGAGCCACCGACCACTCTGATGATGTGCCGTTCCCATTGGATGCGTGTGGTGTACTACTCAGGAAATGGGCGATAGCCTGTTGAGTGCATTCCGAGAGCGCGGACAAGGCCCCACAAGATTCCAGCAGCTGTTCGTCCAAAGAAACATTCTTTTGTTTCGTCCTTCGACTTCTCTCCTTTTGGAGCGGTGGCTGGAGTAGGTTCTTCATCTTCTTGAGCACCTTTGCTTGAGATTTAGTCATTGCGAATCGATCAGCTATTAATCTGATGGCTAATGTTGGGCAGCAGCTCTCGAAATTACTTGGCTTATACAGATGGATCCCCGATCTTCTCCATCCTTTTGCAATGAAACCTTCATAGGCGCTAGCTGTCATTACATCGGCCAGCATTCCCCACGACTTCGAGCAGTCATTAGGTGAGACATTACCCGGCAACAATGCTGCCCTCTCCCCCTTACAGTAGCCACAGTCACTCGTGGAGTACCCAAAAGGACGGATGACATTCTCTGGCGAGGGAAGAGCTATTGGATCCATAGTTTTGACATACAAGCAGATTTCAATGCAAACTCTACAAGAAAGTCACAACCTGCTTTTATTTTGTTTTGAGTTGCAGAAAAAGACTTTTATATGCGCATATATTTCGTCATCACCTAATCGTGATTGTTGATAACTCGTGACTCAAAAGCCAGTAATCGGAGTGATATTCGATATACCGGTACTCATTGACATCATCACTGATCTCATACAATCATGCTGTACTCGACTGTACATGGTATTGATCCTTCACAGACTAAATGATTGTATTGAGACATGCCATGGATGGATGTTTCTATCAGCGCAATTCTGTCTATTGTTACATGAAGCCTCAAGGAGCACACAGAAGACATCCTTCTTACCACCACTTCTCACACTTAATATTCGATGCTGGTACCCCTTTCGCTTTCAGAAAGGCAACGGCATCGTCATTCATTTTGGGTGGACCACATATGTAATGTATTGCATCCTCTGGCGCAAATTCCAAAAACTCCTGAAGATACCGTCCATGCCGAAGCTCTATCCCAGTTTCCTCAATATCCTCCTCTTCGGTTGATGAAGCTTCAGCAGAGGAGAGGAGAAACGAATCATCCCAGGACTCACTCTGTGTGAGCGAAAATATCATTCTGCTCCTATTTTCTTGATCGGCCTCCTGTTGCTCTTTGTGCAGTTGGACTAACTCCTCCCAAAATACTAGTTCGTCCTGTGTCGATACAGAATATAAGAACATTGTTGGTTTTGCAGCTACTTTTCCTGGTGACGCAGACCTTCTTTTCTTCTGCTGGTCCAAGAGGTACCGATAATTCCCAAGGACGGGTGATATGCCAATCCCACCTGCGCAAAACACCACTGTTTTATCATCATCTTCGTTGTCGTGATCATGTTCTTCATCGTCTCGTTGCAATGTACAACTCCCTCCTACTTGAACTCTCAGATCAGACCCAACTTTAGACTCGGTATGAACCCAAGTGGACGCCTTTGCCTTGGAGTTCTTTATCGCCAACGTAAGTTGGGGCAAATCGGACGGTGGACTGGCAATGGAAAACCCACCAATCCATTCATGAGGTGGTGCCATGAAGTCGACCCATTGTCCTGGCAAGAATTTAGTCAACGTTGGAATATTGAGTTCCAAAATCATCACGGTTGGACTTGCCAAGGACTTTCTGGTAATCTTGGCGGCATGGTATATCATCGAGTGGAATAATAATGTCTGATGATGAACGCTGTCACTGCAGAGAGAGACATTCTCGAAGTTCACGAAAATCAAAAAATGCATTGCAAGATCTTGGGTCGGCTGAATCGTTCGCGCGTCTTGCGTTCAACCTGCCCTGGTAATTTTTGTGCAAGCCGTCACCACTCACTCATCATTCTATGAATATGTTCTCACGACATTGCTTTGTACAATGCCGGACCAGTCCTAGATGATGTTTCTGTGTGGTGGTGCAACCTTTGTTTGGTGCTGATGGAGGGTTGGGGTTAGGGTTGAAAATCATTTCCGTAGACTTTAAGCCAAATCACCAAATCAATCTCCAATGATGATATGTGATAGCACGTGGTAAGTTCCCATCGGTGAACTCAATCTTGCAGTACCCAGTTGCAGTGAGGATAATTACCTTCACCAAATGTAGATAGAGACATCTGAGAAAGTCACCCTTTCCTTGAGTGAATCAATTTATTCAGGCATATCTGAGCAATTGACTGCAGTTCTTGAAATTCAATGTTTTCATTGCCGGGCACTCACCATATTTTTCTTCCACCTTAGGCATGCCGACTATCACCGAAGTTGCCCAATCCCAAGTTTTCTTTCATTGAAGCATCGCTGAAGCTCAACGTTGAAGTTTTCTCCAGAGGAGATGGCTCGTGCTGTTCCGGCTATGAAACCCTGCGGCATTTGTCTTGCTCTAAGATATACCGGTACTACAGTACTGTCCCTCTTGTGAAATTTACTTACACGACGATTTGGCTTACGAGATATAGAATAGCTGTCCCGTATATACCTGGATGACGCTGGTGGATTGGTACGACGCATTTGACTGCTTCAAAGCAAGAGGGATTGATGACTACTCGTTGCAGGACTTAATTCAAAATTGACGCATTAGCTCAGGTTGCACCATGCTAGTTTGCGATATTAGTTAAGCCTTTGAGTACTATCTCGGACGTTGCTGAAAGACATAAGAGACATTTCAAACTGTTACATAAATCATACATTATTTGTATACACAATTTTTAAAATGTCATCGAATATCATCTGGGATATCAAATACCGCTTTGAAGGCTTCCAAACATCAGTTTGATAGACATCACAAGAATCGGTTCAAATAATCTTCTTACAAGAATGTTCTTGGTTACCAAAGCATCATCATAATCGCAACATTGTTCAGGTTCATTTTTGTTTCTAAACGGGTTGGCGGGCGTGATGTCTTCACTGTTTCAACACCCACATGACACGTTCATACGTTACACAATAATAGATTGCAACAGCCACAGCGTAGATGTAGGAGATCTCGGTTGGAAGACCAAAGTTCGAATCCAGCAAATCCCAGAAGCAAATGAATGCAAACGTATGCACACTGAGTTCCAGCAAAATACGGACAATTCCAGGGACTTGCACACAAGGCTGTTCCATTGTAGCAGGATCGTCACGAACGCTGAAAATTCTCCAACAAAACAGGATTCCAACAACGATTATCCAGAAAAAGGCAGAATTGCGTTGCCTTGTCGCTGCCCAAGTAGACAGAAATATAATACCGAGCACTTCCAACGTGTATCTCATGATGGTTTGCCACAGTGGCATGTAGGGAGTCTCTTCTTCAGCCAATAGGCCTTGTTTTCGTCGGCCTCCGCGATGAGCATTGCTGAGGTCGTCCATTTCTCTTTGCTCGTCTGATAATGCTTCCGGCAGCGTTGTTCGTTGGATGCGATGGTGAGTGTCGTGGTCGTGAAATTCCTTGAGTGCACCAATCTCTCCTATTGTTCAGGAATTTTGATTGTCAAGATCAGAAGTCAAACGATCTGTGTTTTTATTCTGGAAACTTGTTTTGATTTCAAGGGCGCCACGGTTCCTACTTCAGGTGATGTGGTTGTCAACAAGATACGAGGAGTACCTCTTCTGTTCTGGTTCGAGCACTTCATAATATGTGAAACATCCGTTACATTCATTCCAACCGTCGCGCGCGCTCGGCCCACTCTTGCTCGGCCGCCGGAAAAAGGGGACTTCAGTAGTCTCACTTGAAATAAAGAGAGTACTCGTAATGTATGGTAATGGGCCACACGAGCTTGAACATGTGCTACGACCATGGGTGCGTCGGCTATCGCGTTGCCTTCCTTCACCAACTACATTTCACCTGAATAGCAAAATAGACGAACCACGACGATGACATGAAAACAAATAAAACGATGGGATTGATGGCAGGCTGGATCATTTCATGGGTTTCCTGCATGCCTGGTCAAGCGAATTTTCCATAGTACCTACCAAACGGTGAAGGGGATGGACACGAGCCCCGCCGCGATCGCACAGAAAGTGAAACAAGCCGTCTCACTTTGAAACTTGTGCACTGAATATCCGGGTTCTCAGAATTATATATGCCAAAGTCGAAAGGCGCCATTTTTCACAAGGCTAGACCGCTGATGGCTTTCTTCTCTCTTGTCAATCAACGTACAATAAAATACCACAGCTATTAGAGTGCAATCACATGGATTCCAATACGTGGCATTCGTACGAAGGCAGGCTTCATGCCTTCTGTACCCGTTCACGATGCCCGTTGATAATATCGTACAATGTATTATGATCTAGCTTACAGCCTATCGTAGTATTGTATTTGGATCTCCTCGTTTGATTGTTCCAAGAACCTCTACGCCGATCATAGGTGGGAGACAGCAGGCAAGTCCAGGCATTGACTCTCCATCGACTCCTAGTGATACAACAACCGCTCCTTCCCCAAAACCGCTACTGCCTATGACTGAAGTCCTTTACTGCTTACATGGCAATACGACTAGCTTCTTCGTGTGGCAGCTTATTGCAACGGCCAGCCAACAGCTAATCTATATCGAGAAACCGAATTGGTTCGATATTCACTCCCATGTGTTCTGTTTGTACCAGTAGCTTAAACTTGCGCTACAGCTGTGGTGATACACCGGCTACCGTACTGTCTGTCTTCACTCATCACCTGGTATGCTGGCTGCAGCCACCGGCGTGCAATGTACCAAACAACTCAACTCGCGTGAACCATTTTTCCGGCCACACGTATTGCATTCAGTTCGCTGGGACAACATTTTCATTATGAGGATTGTTTGGAGAAATATATTTGTTCTTCATGTAAATCATCAATATCCCGATGTCAACAGCAAATCCAACGCAAGTCGCAATGGTACCCTTGGTAGAAAGAGATTCAATGTATTGTTGATGCGGATAGCTCAAGGCTTCGCCACTTTCTTTTGAATAGATAGAAAGCAGAGTCAAACCTGGCACTACAAGGCAGCATGACGACCCCATTGCAACGGCAGCGTAGAATGCGGGAACTAAGTGTGGTGGCTGTCCGCGGTAGTTCTGTCCTCGACAGAAGCAATCCCAAAGAAAGAGCGATAATGAGATGACTGTGCAGATCACAGCGTAGGTGACAATCGTCAGATTCGTTATCGTTCCCCTCCCCTCAGCAGCTGGAAGATTTCCAATGTCCTCTTGTGTGATGCCAAAGGAAACGAACCATGACGATGTCAGCAAGGCAAAAACCACGATGGAGTGGAAGGTCCGCCGTTCGGATGGGATTTCAGGGTTTTCCTCGAATATCCAACGTGTCCACCAAAAGGTAAAGGCGGCAGAGAAGAGGCCTACGGCAATAGTGCAGAGAACAAAACCAGCACCCACCATTTCATTCCACGCAGGCTGTTGATGTTGGTTATTTGTCTCACGTTTCAATCGTTTCAATTATTATTTGCTGTGGTCGTCTTTGATAAATGGCGAAACGGAGCAAGTTTAAAAAAAAGTGAATTATCCTGTGACCTGCTCGCATACTGTCCTACCGGTATCTATGCAGGTTGGGCCGCCCAGAAGATTCATTCATTAATGAAGATTTCTAATGTGTATTACAGTATATCTATATTCGTTTCTCCAGCGGAACTGCACAACAATAACTCCTGTTGAATCAATCAATCAATCAATCAATCAATCAGATTGACCCAAATGGTGGTGGATTGCTCCGTGGCTAGTGTCTTCTGCTCATCCTCAAGCAGTTGCTGTAACCTTGGTGTCATCGTCCCGAGACATGACATCCTGCACATACTTGCGAAGAGCGATTGATAGCTTCATCTCTGGATCATTGTAGGGATTGGTTTGTCCCAATTTGAGCTCCGTGGCAACATGGTTGACATCGCGGTGCTCGGCTTCATCCGCACGGACAGCATACATGAGATCCAAAACGGTTCCATGCTCTCCAAGCTCCCAGTATCCAACGGCAATAGAAGGCGCCTTTTCGGTTCTCCATTCAGCAAGCTCGCTACCCTCTGGGGCTTTCTCAATGGCATCAATAATTTTGGTGTAGGTCGAGCAGGCTTCCTCCTCGACGTATCCAACAAAGCGATGACAAAACTTGGGAGAGATCGCGTAGGACGTCAAAAAGGCAGTACCAAATCCAAACTGAGAAACAATGACAGCTCCTCGGAACAATTTTCCTGGATTTTTCATCTTGATGAATGACAACAAGTGCATGCGCTCGTTGTTGGCTTCCTCGAGGAACAACTGAAGAAGACCACCGTCACGTTCCATTCTGCGAAGACTCTTGAAGTGTCTCACAATGGCCGCAACGAATCCAGGGACAGCAGCGATTGTCTCTAGGAAAATAACTCGTTGCATAACCATATCCTTGGTGATTCCTTTGGACTGCCACCCTGTCGCCATGTCAAAACCGCCTCGGACGGCCTTGACGGCATTGTACGCGAGCTTGTCTCTCATATTTTGTGGTGGAACATGAGTGAGCTCAATTTGAAGCTCTTCATTGGTGTAGTGATGGTTCTTGCGGTAGATGTATTCGGCACTGCAACTGCCATTTAGAATTGGGTGATCAAGCTTGTTCTCGGCAGCAATTTTGTCGAGAACTTCGATAAAGTCTGCAAAGCTGATGCTACCTCCAGCTCTGCCAGCGTAGAACATGTCTCTTGCCTCCATGATCTCTTCATTGGTGAATTCCGAATGGTGCTTCTTGAGGAGTTCACTCAATTCGTCGGCATCCAATCGACCATCTTCATTTGTGTCGACTTGACCTAGTTCCGCTTGGATCTTGCCAACTGTTGCCATGTCGAGCTTTTCCAATGGTCGACTGACAGTGCCCATTGGAGCAGCGGTCGCGAAACCTCTGACAAATTGTGTGGAAAAAGTGTTAGGGCATGGCTCGGAATTCCAGTTGACCACTGACGATGGAACCTGAGAAGTAGCATTCGTACTCAATGCTCCTCGTGCGGCAGGTCTCAGCGCAGCGCGATACATTGGCGATGCGGTCCTTGCATTCTTAGTGAAGGCTTGGAGAGCTTCTTTGGCAGCAAACATTTTGGGTCGTGAGATCGTTTCAGTTCTGCTGAGAATTCAATTGTGAGACGACGAATCTTTCGACAGATGTTGTGAAGAGAGAAGATTGCACTCGGTAAAACAGCTTCGGCTAAAGGCTGTTTTTTTGTCTCAAGAAATTGAATGCGAACCCCGGCTATGATTTCTGCCGACGTGGTCGCTGCGGATCCGTTTCGAAATCCGAACATTTATTTAAAAAACCTGTACTGCTGGACCGGCAGTACGATACTATTGGTACAATACTGTACAGTGCGGTACAATACTACATATTCAATATGAGTGAAGCAAGAGCAACCCCGAAATCTGTCTCCTCTCTTCATGTTCCCCCATTGAATTCGGAGAAGTCGATTTGGCCGAGCTATCGAAATTGAAATAACGCAACACTCACAACTGATGGTATCTGCAAGGAAGCAGCAATTCAAACTTGCAATCTCAATTCTATGGCAACAAGCAAGATGTGAAACTTTCTATCATCACGACTGCTACATAATTTACACAACTGCACTATATTTTCTCTTTCATAGGAGGGTTCTTTGGGTGCGTCATCATCCACAATTCGCAAGAGTATGACGCAAAGAAGGATGATACACATGCCACCAAGGCATATTGGGTAATACCACCGGAATCAGCTTTGGATAATGACAGTTTCTTCCGCAGCGGTGAGATTGGATGCAATAACATAGCCGCCGGTAAAGGGAGGAAACAAAGGACAAAGCAGATCAACTTAAAGCGGAACGACTTTGGTGAATTCTTGTGATGAAATGGCAACCTGTCGGAACAGCTTCTGGTCACAAAATAAATCCAGCTACCCATGTGCATAATGCCAGTCAGAAAGAATATTCCAGCGGCTCCTTGGTGTATGATGCTTTGCCATGATATTGGAACCTCCTTTTTCATTGCTAGATGCAAATCTGCTTGCAACGGGAGTAATCCAACTATTGCCAAGTTAGCAAAAGCAATAGAAATAGATATCCTCAAAAACCCAAGTGTCCACTTGTGCGTTTCTCGATCACCGACAATTCGTTCTACCCCTCGAAAGAACTGTGGAAGACAGGTAAAACCGAGCATGGATACCACCGAAAAGCCAACCTGTCCTATCCGTTTTCCAGCCCCCCTATACATCAACATGGATATTGGCGGAGTCTTGATTCTGCCATTCAGGAAATCCATATCGCCATTTCCAAAAGCAGCGATGTAGGCGGCAATAATGGTAATCAAAGCGACAAAAAAAATGCCCAAAGGCAAGAGTGCGAAAAGGCTATTCGTCATACTTGGTGACTTCGTTGTTCTTGCTTCATTTGCTGTTGACATTCTTGTAATGACTCCCCGTTCCCTTTGGCACTAAAAAAAGCTGCAGTTTGGTTGATGGTTCTGACAGAATTAATGTGTCTACCGGTATAGTTGATGTTTTGCTGTATTTTCTTCGTTCTTCATTCATTCTCCATCCTCCAGATGTCGAAACCTTCTCCTCTCGTCTGTCCATCGTCTCGTAACAATGAGCCCCGGTACACGTGTACCACGTGTAACAATTAAAGCAGGTTTGGAAAAGGTACTGTACCTGGTACCCTACATGTACTGTTTGAGCAACTTCTACTTGGAGGAAAGCAACTTTTTAGGAAACCCAATAGGGCGATGCAAACATTATGGCTCAGCACACTATTACTCATCGACTCATTCCCAGAAAACGAATATGAAGAAGGATCTTCTTCGAAGAACGGCGGCGGCTGGCTATGCTGCCCAGCAATATCATTCGTGATCACGATTGACCACGCAACTGAAATGGAACGTGCTGCCCATTTTGTGTTTGCATACCTCACCAGAGTAGTCTGCTCCTATCAGGGTGCGGATTTGTGTCCCAAATACGAACTTGTCAAATGACTAGCATCCACCAGTTTCCACCAGTGAAGTCCAAACGGCCCTTATTTCGCAGAATTGTCAACGAATCCGAACCTCAGTTTCTCCGCCGTCACAAAATCAACTCAACTTTTCGACCATAAATTTGATTTCCTCTCAAAACGTTACACAACTAAACCAAGCAAACTAACATGTTAACGACCAAGCTAGCCTTCCAAACATTTGCAAGAAAAGCAGCGCAGTCCACTGCCGTCCACCGTGGCCAAGTTCAACCTCTTGTCAGCGGATTATGGAACAATGCGAGCCTGACTATCTCCACGGCCCCAGCGACTACTAACTACTCTATTCCCACTGAACTGGCCTTGCCCAACTCGGCTGGTGTGAGATCTTTCAGCACAGCAGCTACGAACACTGTTGGCAAGCTTGATCCATCAGTTGTAAACAAGATCAAAGAAGAACTGAAGCAAGTCGATACTAATGAGGATGGACACCTTGATGCTGATGAACTAATGGCTCTCTTCAAGAAACACAACTCCGCTTTCAAAGATGCAGAAATCTTGGAGGCACGAGATATGTTCTACGCTGGTCAAGCTGGCGGAGGCTTGAAATTCGACGATTTCATTGACATTCTTGAAAAGGTCACCACCAAACCTCAGAACGATCATCCAATTCTCAATGGAAACTTCAGTTCCGAGTACATCTACCGCAAATCACATGCCTACACCAATGAGGAGCTCGCAATCGAGCTAACGCATACACCACCGGAAAACATGAGAGACCGCATGGCCTTGAATGCAGTCAAAGGAGTTCGTGCGTTTTTCGACACGATAACAGGCTGGAATCATAAGGCAATGACCAAAGACATGGTCATGTACCGTGTAATATTCTTGGAGACAATCGCTGCAGTCCCCGGTTTCATTGCTGCCATTACAAGACACTTCAAGAGTCTCCGAAGAATGGAGAAGGATGGTGGTCTTCTTCATCTATTTTTGGAAGAGGCCAACAATGAGCGAATGCACTTGTTGTCCTTCATCAAAATGAAGAATCCTGGAACGCTTTTCCGCGGATCCGTCGTCGTGTCTCAATTTGGATTCGGCACCGCCTTTTTGGGTACCTACATGATGTCACCCAAATTCTGCCATCGTTTCGTTGGATACGTGGAGGAAGAAGCTTGTTCGACCTACACCAAGATTATCGATGCCATTGAGACAGCACCCGAAGACAGCGAACTTGCAAGCTGGCGAACGGAATTGGCACCTGCTATCGCTCTTGGATATTGGGAACTCGGCGAGAATGGAACCGTCCTAGATCTGATGTATGCTATTCGAGCAGATGAAGCGGAGCATCGTAATGTCAACCACGCTACCAGTGAGCTTGCACTGGGGCAAACCAATCCCTATAATGACCCCGAGATGAAGGTGTCAATTCTCTTGCGAAAGTACGTGAGGGACATCATGTCACGGGATCAGCAGTTGAGCCCAGCATAAATGCCTTGGGCATTAGAATGACATATGTAAATATTAAGGAGATAGACTGGGGAAGATATTCATCTTTGAGACCTGCGTTGTCGTTTCTGCATTATCCTTGCACTTTCAGATATGTAGTTTCTTGGTAGGCATTTTGCCGAAGATCCTCTCGTCACCACAATTGAAAATGCCGTGAATTCTGCCGAATACAGCGCAATTTCTGATCTGCAAAGAAACGGGAAAACCCGCTTTCTGCAGAAATTGGCAACTTTTGTGGTACCTTTTCGTTGTTCCAAACTGTTCCAAATGAAAAATTGTTGAGGATCTAATATATGTGTCCAAGCCAAGAAAAATAGCGTCGGCGAAACAAATGCGAATATTGACGACACGCGGCTTGGGTCAGGTTTGGCACGTTCTATCTTTCGCCGTAGAATCTACACAAAAATGGTTGTTGGCGGGGGTACCCGCGAATGGCCTGTTTGGCCGGACAAGATCTGCCAACACAGGTGAGTCAGTCGTCGTGAATTCGTCCCATAAAATCTCGACGTTTGACGAAACACATCCAACGGCATTTTCACAAACTTCCGACAAACAAGAGGAATACACAAATACATACTAATATGTTCACAACAAAGTTGCAAGTATTGACCAAGAAGGCAGCAGCACCTGCCCTACTCCATCGGGGTATCCTTGGCTCCCCAACCACTGGAACCTGGACCAATGATGCTGTCTCAAGAATGATCAAAAGAGATGAGAGTCATTCTCCTGCCTACACACTTCCAACCGTCCGAGCATTCTCCACCCACGTGCCGGGTACTGTGACAAGGACTCTCAACAAGCTTGATGCTGATGCTGTCGCAAAAATTCAGAAGGAACTCAGCCAAGTTGACACAAATGAAGATGGTCGACTTGACGCTGACGAACTTTCTGAATTGTTGAAGAAGCACGACTCTGCCATCAGTCATGATGAGATCTTACAAGCTAGAGAACTATTTTATGCCGGCCGAGCTGGAGGAAGTCTAAGGTTTGAGGAGTTCATTGAACTTCTGGACAATATTGCTGCCAAGAGAAAGCTTGATCACCCAATTTTGAATGGAAACTGCAGCGCAGAATACATCTACCGAAAGACTCATGCCAAGTACACTGAGGAAGAGCTTAACATTGAACTAACACACTTGCCTCCAGAGAATACAAGAGACAAGATTGCATACAACGCTGTCAAGGCCGTCCGAGGCGGATTTGACATGGCGACAGGATGGAATAACGAAGCCATCACCAAAGACAAGGTCCTACATCGGGTTATCTTCCTCGAGACCATCGCGGCTGTGCCCGGTTTCGTTGCTGCCATCGTGAGACACTTCAAAAGTCTTAGAAGAATGGAACGAGATGGAGGTCTTCTTCACCTGTTCCTAGAGGAAGCAAACAACGAACGCATGCACTTGTTGTCTTTCATCAAGATGAAGAACCCAGGCTTTTTCATGCGTGGAGCTGTTGTTATTTCACAATTTGGCTTTGGGAGCGCCTTCTTGGCGTCCTACGCGATTTCACCCAAGTTTTGCCACCGATTTGTGGGATACGTTGAGGAAGAAGCATGCTCGACTTACACCAAGATCATTCATGCCATTGAGACTGCTCCAGAGGGCAGTGAACTTGCTGACTGGAAAACCGAAATCGCACCAGCCATTGCCCTTGGGTACTGGGAACTTGGAGAAAAGGGAACAGTACTGGATTTGATGTACGCTGTCCGTGCTGATGAAGCTGAACATCGTGATGTCAATCACGCATCCAGTGAGCTTGCACTGGGCCAGACCAACCCCTACACGGATCCTGAGATGAAGGTATCAATGATTCTTCGTAAATATGTGCGAGATATCATGTCTCGAGATGAAAAGTTGACCCCTGCTGCTTAGAAACCTTCTCCACCATCATCACCTAAACAACCAACTCATCATATTGGGATCATTTATATACACATTAGAATGAGATAAACCTAGGGAAGAAATTTATTAGCAATTGTGAGAACTGATATGATGGGTATTAGTTTAACTGATTCATTGGGTCCTTGACGACTGCTGTAGTCAGTATTTGCTTTCCTAGGAAGGACGTCCAACCATGATCTTGGTGGAACGTGTCATCTACCTGAAAGAAATCAATTTAGTAATATTATTCATTTTGAGTAATATATATTTTATTGTTCCCAGTCATATAACCAGGCAGGTGAGTCGCCATGGAATCTGGTGATCTGACGTCAACAAGCGAAACAGTCAGTCTACCGGTTACCCCATACCAATCGATAATTCGTCCCTGCAAGCTTGCAAAGAAATAGACAGACACTCTTTTGAATAAGCCCAATGACCCAAACCGACGAGGAACCGCAATCCCGTATGTAATGATTTATTGAGCCCTCTAATTCCGTAATTGGTCACAGCGAACGACTAGATCAAACCGAGATCAAACCGTAGTTCTGATCCTGACGGTTTTATCGGATCGAATTGTTCCGTTGACACCGCGGAGTATAGACAAATGGAGGTTAAATACCGTTGACAAAAATATTTATCTACTTATGGTCAAAGGCGCGCTAGTCCATTCCTCACATTTCCCGCCAAATCATCGGTGTCACGATTTTCAAACAAGTCCCACAAATCATAATTGAAAGACTGTTCATGACAGCGGCGATGACTTCGGAAAAGAATACTAATTCTGCAAAACGAATGAAAACAATTCCAATGGAGAACGAACAACTAACACAAAGCATGCCTATGCCGCTACCAACAGATCCATTCAAGGCTCATCAACGGGTGGATTGGGATGCAGCGACACCCTTTGTATCAGATGCGTTTCCGCTTCTATCTGCTCCTCCACCGCCTAGAATGCGACCCCGCCCGAACCCTTCCGATATCGTTGAATGTCGACCTACCGACATTGAACGACTCAGCCTCCCAGTACTTACGATGGATGATCAACCCATAGGGCCCTCAGAAACACCTCCACTAACGCTGAAGATCCTTCCAAGAAGAAGCCGACCTTATTCTGAATTCTCGAGAAGAAGAGGCGTTTGTGGCAAGCGGACACGAACCACAGATGAGAAGCGATACGAGGAGAGTATTTTCAAGTCTGCTACACTCCAATATTCAGGCATCTCGGGTAAGACTATCTACGCCGACCCTGTTGTCACATCCAAGGAAATGACCGGGGACATCAAAAGTTCTTCTTTTGGCAGCAAAACGGGTTCAGATGAAGACTCTTTCTACGTACCAACTCCAAGATTCACGTTGACCACAAGATCAGCCCTACCGCATGTACTTCGGCTATCCGATTGATTGCTGATCCATGTATTCTTGTATATACATGATCCTCGGAGATGATTCATTCTATGAATTTGTCTCCTATGTATTCTACAACAAATTACACTACTATATTTCTGTACTCTTACCACTTCTTGACACAAAACGTGTTGGCTACCACCGCGTATGAATAATTAATTTTAAAATTGGAAAATGATTTTAAA